CTGACCTGCTTCTCTGGGACCCCATTGACGACCCGGAAAAGTTCCGCCTCACAAATGTCTCGGAATCTGCTGAGGGAACGGGCGATGGCATGCATTCTGGATTGGGGGACGATGCGATCAACGACGCATCAGCTGGCCGGCATTGCTTGACTAATATGGAGTGCGCCATATGTACATTGGTTGTCTCGTCGTGTGCCGCGGTGGTTGGGCGAGCCTCCTGCTTTTGAGCACCACAATCATCACAAGTTTCTTTTCCAGACACACAGGCGCAACCTTTTGGTGTAGCTGGGCCATAGTCTGATTCGGATTCGTATTTAGACGAGAAGTAGGCGGATGATGGGGACGATTGCGAGCCCAGAGAATCGGAAAGAGGAGGACTGGGGAGAAGGCCGAAGGAATCTATACTGGTGACGTTGATATTTTGGTCTGAGCGCCAGGCTCGCAGTGTTTGGCCTCCAGACAATTGTCGCGACGATCTGGCTTCCTTTGCAGCTGATGCGATGCTTTCCAGCGACGGCGAAGATGGTAGGCGCAGTTGAAAGGGTTGTTTCATCCTGCGCACAGAGCGAAAGGGTGACATGACCACTGGCGGACGCTCCACAGGTCGACGTGGCTGCGGAGCTGTAGTGTATTCGGCTTGGTCCATCCGGGGAGAAGTCGAGGGAACGAAAGAAAGGGAGCTCTGGGGCTGTTGCTGTCTCCTCCAGGGCTGAACATTGGGCGCATAGCGCGGAGCAGCAACTCCATTCCCTTGGATCATGGCTTCCTCTGCTAATGAATTATATGATGATACTCTCCTGGGTGCGAACGCTGGGACCTGGTTGGCAGACATGGTATGTTGATGACAGTTCCTATTTGGGTTAAGGAACACCCTGGCTGACTGGCAGTCAGTGGAGGACATGGCTGGCACGGTAAATGGTAAATTGCAATCAGGCGACAATCGATTTCCTATTGTTACTCGGGACTAATGTGCAAAGGAAGAGAAAAAGAGCAGCATCAATTCTGATCGGGAAAGCGGCCGGCAGGGCCTTATACTACATAACAATATGGGTTTCCAGGTATCCCTTGACTGCCTTGCGGTGACGGGGGAACTAGTCACTGGGCATGTGTACTCTCCCCCTTCGAGAGGGTCATCTAACACTCTGGAACATAGACGAAGAGTGAAGGGCGACCACGCCCACCGTCCTTGCATACCAGAGAGAGGCGAGCGGAGATAGCGTGCACAGCCATTGGCTAGCACTCTCAATGCGCGCCACCTGCAGGGACAGCACAACGTGGGTGGTCCGTCTCCCAGGGTGCTTGGATCTCGTTAATTAGCAAAAGAAATGAGACCTGCAGTTGGAGGGATGCGGGAGGAGCCTTGGGAGGGCATTCAAAGGACGTCACCGGTCTGATTTCAAGGCTCTCTGGTTAGTAGAGGCGTTGCGCTGGACAATCAAAGAAGAAACCCCTAGAGGGACACCCCTTGCATGGGGTTGCTGTGGGCGCCGGCGATAGGCTCATGTTGATTGAGGGATAGGCGAAATTTAATTTAAGCAGCATGTGCAGGAATTCCAGCTTGACTGCGGCCGCGGAGATTTGAGTTGTATCATGATGGGCTTGAATACCACGGGAAGGCAAGCAAATTTCAATCTCCAGATGCGGTCTTGATGGTGGCTCAGTCAATCTGCTTCCGCTGAGAGTGCTATGGTCGACAATGGATGGCTTGCTAGTGGCAACCAAGGGATAGTGTTAGCTTCAATAGGTAAATCAGTCACAAAGGAGAGCAGGGGAACTAGGGAGCTGAAGACAGGGACAGCGAGGGTATCACTCCGTCAACCTGAACTGAGGGAGAGAAGGAGACGAAGCTTAATTAATGAAGGTTTATAGATCGTCTTGTGCGGGATTATCTAAGCATACATACAGACATGCATAATACTTCCTTATCGGGAACTTGCAGACAAACCATGCAAACATCCCGGTTATCGATTGGAGCCTCGATTTCCTCATTTTATTTTATTGCATTTTCGTGGATTTTGCGTCTCCAAAAAATTAACGGCTCGTCGCATTCTCCCTGCCTCCTGCAAATTTGAACCTTCTGGGGTGGCAGTTCCTCATGCTTTCTGAATGTTTCATCGCATCGACGCTGGCGTCCAGCAAAGCGCCAGCGTCTGCGACCCTCCGCGATGTGGGAGTTTGCGTCCATGAATTCCAGCCCACGCTGAACCTGCGCTCCACCTTCAAGAAGAGCTCAACGGCGGCCAATTGCCTGGCCGTGAGCCCGTCGCACGTTTTCGCTGCGCAGTCCGAGAAAGCCATTGTGCATGTGTATAGCAGGGAGAAAGGCAACCAGGAAGCCACCGTTCCCTTCCCGGAGCGCATTCGCAGCATTGCTGTCGCCGGGGGCAAGAATGGTGATGTCCTGGTCTTGGGAACCGAAGGGGGTCGTTTGATTCTGTGGGAGGTAGGTTGATTGTTCACAGCCCCAATGGCGTCGCCAGCTATTCGTCATGGTTTCATACTAACAGCATGTGCTTCCTAGACATGCACCGGGCGACAAGTGGCTACGACAGCGTCGCATCTGCGGCCAGTGACCTCACTCGTGGTCGATCCCAATTCCAACTTCATCCTGTCGGGTTCGTCCGATGCCAGCATTCATGTTTGGTCGTTAGTGGATCTCTTATCCTTCACGAAACCTCCATCCGGCCGTGATCGTCAGCCTCCGAACTCTCCCATCCGTACCTTTTCCAACCACCGCGCCGCCATCACTGCCATCGCTGTGGGTCACAGCGCCGGTCGATACAACATTGCTGTGTCTGCTGCAGATGATAGCACAGCCATTGCCTGGGATTATCACACCGGCCGTCTCCTGCGTACCTTCCTCTTGCCGTCCAATGCGAAGTCGCTGGCACTTGACCCGGCCGACCGGGCTTTCTATGTCGGATACGAAGATGGCAGTATCCAGTCGATCGACTTCTACAAGAACCAGTCCATCCAGAACCCTCTCCACGACCCCTCTCTTCAATCTACTCCTTCGCAGCCTCCCGCAGAAGATCGCTGGGCACCGCCATCGGCTGATTGCGGCACGGCGCATGCGCTCACCCTCTGCTACGATGGAATGACATTGCTCTCTGGCCATCAGAATGGCAAGGTTCTGTCATGGACAGTTGGAAGGAAGAAGTACGCCTCGACCGTGGCAGACTACACACATCCTGTCACGAACTTGTTCATGCTTCCTCCCAACGGTCTCCCTCATCCTTCCCTCGACCTCAAGCGGGTAGCACACACCATCGTCAAGCCCCGCTATGACTCTTCCCTGTCCGAAACCTCTCAAGCAGCTGGCGCCGTTCCAGCCGATTACACCTTTAGCACGCATCTCCTCCCATCCATCTCATCCAAGCCCAACTCTGCTAAGCCCGACCAATTCACCGAAGCCTTCTCCCACGCGTACTTCCCTGAATCCATGCTCGAAGAAGGCCTCGCCGAACTCGCTGCCTTCGGCCAGCCCACTAGCAACGGAGTTCCAGTCTCCTCGATAGCACAGGGCATTAGCGACGAAGACCTAGCGGCGAAGGATACCCAAATTTCCCAACTCGAGGCGGAACTCGCCACGCTGAAGAAGAAATCCTCTGTGAACGAGACCGCCCGCCAGTCCACAACAGACGAAGTAACCAAGCTTCGCTCTGATCTCGCAAACCTGCACGATTATATCAACGAGCTTCACGAGAAACAAGAACAGGCGCAGCGGGAGAAGATCCTCCGACAGGCGCGGAAAGAAGAGCGGGAGACCCGCCGTCGGGAGGCCTGGTTCGCAGCCGAAAAGAAGGGCAAGAAAGGAGATGCCGTTCTCCGGAAGATGGACGCCGAGGATACCGTCATGACGAGCGATACGGATGATCAGAGCAGTGATGAGTAGACTCTTCTTCTCTATCCATTACTACTTTACATTTTAATTGCATGATCAACCACTATCGGACCCGCATTTCCCCTTTCTTACAGTACATCATTCAACAGGCGCAAAGGTCAGAACACAAAAAGTCGCTATGAAATGACAAATCACATGATGCATGTCTTTTCCTACAAACTACTACTCTGCTTGGGATTGATAGACACACGGAGTCTTGTATTGTATATAGACAAATGGGTACTAATAGATAAAAGTCTCATCAGCACTTTACGCCATACTACTTACTTACTCTCCTATAAGCACTGAGTACTACCAAAACGTCCACGAAAACTGACTGATTTAATATGATACCCTACATAATAATAATAACCCGCCTCCCCCAAAAACCCCAGGCTGCAGCCACAAAACACCCAGAACCACCCGATGAAACACACAATATGTGCGCCCCCAACCCGCGGGATGAAACGAAAGTGGCTGTCAAATGGTCGAAACGGAGGAATGTGGACTCGCAGGCCTCTGGTATGCATGGTGTGGAGACACACACCACCACCACCACCACCGTCCGTAATGCATCCATCATGCGGGCTGGGGAACATTTCAAATTCATTTCACGTTGTACAACGTATGTGGTTACATTCCACACATGATATCTAATTATTTAAATTAATTTATGGAAACTACGTGATAGTTACTGTTTATTGTGGGGAAAATAGAGAAAGTATGTAATACGAAAATGAGGATATGATTTGCTTTGCTTCATTCCATGGGGTTTGAGGGTGTCTGGGCTACTTCATCTTCATAATTGCTAGGAATTCTGAGGAGAAAAGTTCGTTATTTGATGGCTGATAAGGTTACTGTGTACAGGTTTTGCTGGCTTGGCAGATATGGGGGGTATTTTTTTTGCGTTGGGAATTTTGCCATGGGTGTTGTCGTGGCAGGTGGGTTAGGGTTGTATGTGTGGAATCCAGCACGCCCGTTTCAGACGGTGGCGGCGGTTGGAAACTGGACTGATGGGTAGGGAAATAAAAAGACAGATAGACGCAAAGCAAGGATTTTGATCTCTCACCTGGATTGAGCGCCTATCATGGGAGCTGGAATTATTAGCCGTCGTGATGTTATCTGTATGCCTTTTTCAGCTGGTGGGTGCCATCAAACAGGCCGTGGAGACTCGTCAGCCCCATCCAAACTGCTTCCTCTGTGCGGATGGTTCTGCTTCCCTGTCCGGGTAGGAAGTTTACCCAGTAGTCGAAGAGTTTCCCGGTATCTGATGGGCGAATACCCATGTCGCGGAGTTGGGGATCGTTCTGAACAGCTGCCTCGATCCCAGCAATACCACCAAAGACGATGAGGATGTGCTGGAAGTCTGGAAGGCGCTCTTCGCGACAAGGGGTGTGGTGTTGCTCGTAGCGATGGTGTGCTTGTTGGGGCTTCTCTTCTAGCACTGTGGAGACAGGCACACCACGCTCGGACGTGCCGAAGGATAGGTCATAGCCACCGTCATAAGGACACTCTGTGAAAACAGAGGAGAGAGACCGGCATCTTCGCACATAGTAGCCCCAGTAATACCCCGCCTCGGCACGAGGAGTGGATGGGTGTACGGGTTCTGCATACGGGAATCCATGCTGGGGAAATCGGACGGTTACTCGGGCATGTTCCGGAAGGTGGGTGTTTAAAAGTATTATCTTCTGTGAGAGACCGGTGTTCACAATTGTGGTAGGGCCATCGTTAGTAGAGCTGCCATGATGGTGGGATTGATGATCATTGCTCCTCTGAGTGATCTTGCTGGCCGAATGTCTGTTTCGCGCTGAATATCGATCGGCACTAGAAACGACAATGCCTTCACGGAAGTCGCACCACTCATGAGCACGTAAGTGGTGGGGCATATCCAAGCTGGGTAGCAATCCAGCTGTGCGAAGATTGGGATGGATAGGAAAGAGGTGTTTGCGCAAGTATGGTGGAGTCTCGAGGTACGATAGAATGTGAGTTAGGAAGTGTGAAGGGTCCGAATTCGCGGTATATGCTTTGGGAGAGGATGCGCCGCCATCAATTTGGTTTTTAGTTTTGACACTGGGTGAGTTATTGTGATCTTTATGCTCTTGAAAGTCATAGTATGCACCATACTCATCATCGTCAAAGACCACGACTTCGTCGACGCAGAAGACGGCGAGCGCGCGCGCGATTACTCCGGCTAGGAGAGTCTTTTGCTCGACAGAATGAGCACTGTACAGCAGATGTTAGTGATTGACTACATCAGTAACCCCTAGGGTGCATTGATCGAGGGGAAATTTCACTTGGCTATGATGCTGCCCGGAATTGCAACGCTGAGAGTATGCGATCGGCCACCCTTGGGGTGGAAGACGGCTGAGGGCTTTTTGGTGAGGATGGGATTGGTTGTGCCATTGTGGTGCGACGGAGGACTATCTTCGTGGGTAGTCTTGCGTCTCTACATGGACAAAGCATTCTCAAGTCAGACACTATTATTACAAGGAGGCAAAAAGCTGTCATCAACGTACCTTATAGTTGGGACGGCGCATCGCAGGGCAGCAGGAGGGAGCAGAGAGCGATGAAGAAGGATGAGAAGGGGATGTGGAGGACGGAAAAGAGAACTTTCAGGGACGAACGCTTCTTCATTTGACGAGACCAAAGATTCTTTCGTGGAGCAGGGGATGACCCAAACAACACATAGTGGACTAGTTCGAAGGCTTTGGTTGACCGATCATACTTCCTGACGATGACGTTGAGCTCCACCGTCTCCACCAACGTTAAGTCAACATCCTGACGAGGTTACTCTGTAGTAGTTGCTCAATCCATAGTATAGATGTTCCTTCAGAAAAGCACTCTCCAGGAACCTATCCAGAAACTCGGATACATTTCTCGTTCAGTAGCCACTACCACTACCACTACTAGCGATTCCCGTCGTCTCCTGCATAATCTTCACCCCCGAACTGCTCCCAATACGCGCCGCTCCTGCTTGCAACATCTTGCGACAGTCCTCTGCTGACCGTACTCCTCCACTGGCCTTGACCTTGGTGCCCTTCCCAACCAGATTGGCCGTCTCTCGCATAAGAGCAACGTTCTCCAAGTTCGCCCCGGGCCCATTAAACCCAGTACTAGTCTTGATATAGTCCGCTCCAGCTACACACGCCAGCACCGAGCCCGCTATAATCTGCTCGCGAGTCAACTGAGACGTCTCCAAGATGACTTTCAGCCCAACGGGTGCTGGGGCTGCTTTGCGCACTTCCAGCACGTCCGCATAGACATCCTTGAACTTCCCATCTTGCAAAAGAGGGTAGTTGAGCACCATGTCGAGCTCAGACGCTCCCAAATTCACAGCCTCCTTCGCTTCAGCTGTCTTCTCGTCTGTCTTGTAAGTTCCCTCATGGAACCCAACCACACAGGCTACTCCGACAGCTGGATGTTCTTTCAGGTTCTGGACTGCTCGAGACACATGGTTCAGTCGCACGCAGACAGTCGCGAATTGGTGCTGGATGGCTTCCTGACAGAGGTCGTCGATCTGTCGCTCCGTTGCTGTCAAGGCTAGCTGAGTGTGGTCTATGGTACGATTGATTTCAGATGTAATGTCGTATGAAGGGAAGGTCGTTGGGAGGGATTGTTGGATGCCGGAGATCAGCGTCGCCCATGCGGCGTCGGTTTGTGGTGTAGACATAGTGTGATGCTGGATGTGACTGACGGTTGCGCCCTTGTCGATATCTTCGAAATTGTAGGAACAACCACAGCAAACAGGATCAACGAATTTGATGTAAAAGAGGAAATAGATTGAGGACTAGTTGGGTCTGGAAGGCACTGAAGCTCAGATGATTTCCCGGCACCAGCCCCTCTTTTGCGGGGCATCCATCCATTGCCTTTCCCCCCATGGGAAATCAACGGCGTCGTCGATCGCCGCTTGTTTGTACTTTGTAGATATCTTGCACTAAAGCCGTCACAACTTACAACTACACAAAGCATCATACATGACTCTTCTATAAGCCATACAAAACCCCTACACATCCCATCCATCACAAATTATCCATTCACAACAACAACCCCATTCCATTGTTCCAAATCCATAGTATAATCAATAAAGAGCGCCCTATCAAACTCCCATCCCTTCAATCCCACTACACCTCATTTTCCAAGCCCCCTTCAAACGCACATCCCCAAATCAACCACAGCTCTTACACTCCGGGCCACGAATATCATCTACCCGACCGATCCTCCTACCAGGTCCTCCCGGTCCACCACCGCCGCCTCCTCCGGGACCCCAAGATCCGCCTCCACCTCCACCTCCACTGCCCCAGCGAGCACGAGTATTGGGAGTCTTTCCTGACTGAGTAACGTTGAATCGAGAGTTTTGGGCTGCGGTGTAGGGGTCCAGCTAGATCATGACATGTACCCGTTAGTATAGGGTTCGGCTGGATATGTCTCCAACTTGGAGTATGACTTGTAGATGTAGTGCATACCGAAAATAGGCTGACGATGTATAATCCGATGAAGAGGTAGATGTTCTCGACGAAGCGGAGGATTCGGACTGTGATGGGGGGACTGGACGGAGGACGGAACTGTTAGTCATGGTTTTTGTAGATGGTGAGGGGTTATCATGGATGGATGGAGAACTACTTTGCGAGAACGCGTCCCCCAGACACGTAGGTCTTGGGTTCGGATGCCATGCTTGTGTCGATTTGGGGGAGTGAAGAGTGAGATGGATGATTGGTAGAGGAAGAAGACGATGGGAGGCGATGCGATGCGCCAGATAGCGAGCTTGCTGGATGAGGTTTAGCGCCTTTAATGGGGACAGTGTATTTCCTTATTTGGTCTAGTGCATAGAGACCCTTGGATGACATCAGTTTCTATACAAACTTGAGACAGGGTTTATTGTTGACTTTCCCCTGTAATTAAAGCAACGACTACATACAGATAAAATTCATCTACTTGTGAACTGCTAAGTGATACAAGTAGAGTGACCATTTGCGGTGGACTGCGCAGCGAGTATCACACAGGCGTCAAGCATCAGTATCGCTCGTTGGAACTACTTCCGTCTGAGCATCCGGCATGGATTCCTTTGAAAGCTTTGATGCAGCAACTCCAGCCAGCTCTTGGATAGAAGAACCCCCAATAATCTGCAGCACAGGAATGTCAACAGACAGCTCCCTGACGAACCAATGCCGCAGCTCGATAGCCACCAGAGAGTCTACCCCCATCTCGGTCAATGCAGATGCTCCAGTGAGCTGTTCTTCGGCGGATAGTTGCAGCCTGGAGCGCACTTCCTTGATAAACCCCTCGGTTATTATCTCCCTGGCTTCACCAGTGCTCTTTGCCAGCTTGATTTGCATCCTTACCGGAACATTGTCGTTAGTACCGGATGCAGATGTGGTCGGGTTAGCCGCATGGCTAATGAGATTCCACGCCTTCGGATTTCGCAACCATAACGCGTTGAGATTCTCTGCAGCATTTATTACTTGGTACCCAGCAATCACTTCAGGGTTGCTGCTGAAACTTGGATGCCCTGCAAGGATACCCTCTGCGAAGAGTTCATGCAGGTCTTGCTCACTGAAGTTTGAAGCACCAGTGTTCCGCTCAATCATGTTCTGAACTGCACTGTCTGCTCTTGCAAAGTATCCTACCCCCTTAATTAGCCCAGGATGGATGATGCTGCCTACTAGGCCTTGCTCATGTCGCTGTTTGATAAGCGCTGACATGAATTCTGTGGCGGCTGAATATGCTGTCTGGCCAACATTGCCCAGCGGTCCAGCAGCTGATCCAAAGAGAATAAAGAATTCTAGGTCCAGGTCACCGAACACCTCGCTCAGGATAATACTGCCTTGAACTTTTGGGGCCATGACGCTCTGTATATCCTCTAGCGTCGTTTGAGCAAAGAGGCGGTCCTTGAGCACCATCGCTCCGTTGGCTACTCCCCCAATCGGAGGTAGTGATTCACGTATAGAAGCATAGGCACGAGACACGGATTCTCGGTTGGTGACATCACTGGTACATATCATCAGTAATTGTCTCGACACACTGTCAGGATAGGCACTTACATTGCCAATGGAACAACTTGAGCACCCAGTCTTTCCATCTCCAAAATCCACTGCGCATCGATATTTGGGGAACGACTGCCAAGGACCACAGTTCGGGCTCCTTTACTGACCATCCACTGACAGACGGATCTTCCAAGATCACCAGTCATCCCGACAAGCAAGTATGTCTTTTGTGGGGATAGTGAGACCATGGAGCTTGCTGTTTGAATCTGAATATGGACTTGGCCTGGCTGGGTCCAGTCCACGATCTCCAACTGATTCATTCCCGGCGAAGCACCCTGCAAGTTTTGAACAGAGACAAGCGGAATTTCTTCCTGCAAGGTAGCCGTTTGTAGCGCAAACCCACAGGCTGCGAGGAATGTTTGCCCAACGGTGATCGGACTAGCAGGCCGCAATGATTTTGGCGACGTTCTGCTCAAACCCAAGATATCAACTCGCACAACATCCTCGGGCAGGAGAGATATGATTCGATCGTAAACACTGCTCGCACTTTGAGAACAGCCGACAATGACAGAAATGTCTTTCGGCAAAAGCCGAGATAAAGTACGAGAAGAGCTCCTCCCGTGAATATACAGCACACCAGTCTTTGGCACTGCGGCTTGGACATTGGTCACAAACAATACCCGAACATTTCGTGCAAGGGCAAAGGCTGAGACTGCATCACACACAACCGTGCATAAAGTTTCGGCCTTATAGATCATGATCGTTGTGTCGGGAAGCCCTTTGTCGACGATATAAGTGGCCAGCAGGGCAGCAGCTGTTCGCATCAAGACAGTAGCTTCTAGCCCCTCAGGAACGCTGTGTGGGAGCCGCCAGCACCACCTGAGTGGTGCCACAATAGCTGATGCATGTTGCTCTGATAGTGCCAGCCAACGTGTTTCATCATTTACATCTCGACCGATGACCAAATGCAGAAAGCCAGCGCCTTCCACCTTATACGCAGTTATTGTCGAAAAACGTACGGTAAGCCGGCGATGGGTTGCATTATTGTAAGCTTCTTCTTGCTGTCTAGATTCCAGGCTTCTACGGAAGATGAACTCACTGTGCCTGGTAGATGGGGCAACAATCTGTACTGTGGAATCTTGCAGGTCAACCAAGCCATTGACCGTGCGATGGCTTGCAAAATACCGTTGATTCCTAGTGTCGTCAAACTGGATTCGCGGAATATGCAGCACCCCATTTACAAGCCGTAGCTCGAATTCTGTACTATGCAGGCAGACATCCAGGCCATCATAATTGTCCTTAGATGTATGGACCAACTGCATGAAAATATTGGCAAGAGTAGGAGCGGTGACCTCTTGATGGTTAGGTATGTTCAGGTACTGAAAGATGGACTGAGGATTCTCATATGCGAGGCAGTGGACAGTAGCCTTACTCATGCTCAAGTAGGGCTGCTTGCTCTCTGGGCCACTCGTAACCCAAAGAAGCCTGCTGGCGCTGTTCATCACCACCTTGAGGCTGCTGAGACACTGGGCTGTGATATTCTCGTAGCAAGGCGAGTCTAAATCGGTCAGATTCAATACACACCAGCCAGATATGTCATCCAATTCTAGTACATCGAGACTTTGTACAAGAACTAATTGACGGAAGCATGGTCTGAGTAAGGCTTCTAAAGCCGATATCATATCCGATGTTGCTCCCGTCGCTCCACCGATAAGGAGTAGACTATCTGATAGTGTTCCCTTGAAATCCCAGGGCTCGCGGAGCAGTTGGATACGATCATCGATTGCCTGCGTGACAAAGGTCGATTCATATTCAAACCGACCAGCCGATGACACTGCTTGGAGTCCTCCAAAACCAGTCTTCTTGAGTAGCAGATCCCATTCTTGGAGGCTAACCACCGGGCTTTGAGGGTTGCCGTTCTCGTCGGACCACCACTTTTTGAAAGAGCTGACTATCAGCCCGAGGCGATTAATATGCGTGTTGGTGCCGGTACGAACGACCAAATATCCACCGGGCTTGAGCATGTGCCGAATGTTTTCTAAGGTCTGCACCAGACTTTCAGCACACCAAAGCATATCAGCTGCGACAATAAGGTCATATGTGTGCTCCCTGAAGTCTTGCTTGACAGGATCTGACAAAATATCGAGCACCTGGTAGACAATCCGATCATTGTGTTGAGCAAGTCTTTCTTGTACCTCCGCAAAGGATGTTGGGTAATTATTAGTGAAGGTATAAGAATGATCTGATCGTTTTATTTCCCTCAAAATTGATTCCGTGGCCAGACCCTTTTCTGCATTGAGCTCGAGTATTTTCATATGAGGGTAGCGGAAAGCGATCTGGCTAACGAGCACTGCAAGCTGCGAATGGCTGCGGTCGTTGTCAAATAGATCCTTATAGACCCCATCCAACTGGCCTCTCTGACAAGGAAGCTCGATCATTTTGCTTGTCCCTCGAAGGAAGTCCGACAAATTTTCACCTGCTATCCGAAGCTGATCCCAGGGATCGCTATCTATGCGTGTCATATTCGTAGCTTTGTCGAGAGCATCTTCCAGGGTGCCGTCTAGCCAATCTGGACGACATATCGGATGGGAGCCGTCGTGTGTTGTACAGAGAACCTGATCCATCCACTCCAAGACGCTAGACCGGTGTTGGTCAAGGCTTTTGCATTCCTCTGCGGAAAGCTGCCTCCGTGCATCTCTAATATACAAAAGAGCGCAGCGTTCCACCCACTGAACCTCTTCTGTGGTTTGACAATCCTGATATACGCTTTTGGAAACAGCTTGTGGCAGCAACGGGCCCCAGACAATCTTGGAAAAGATGCCACGATCCTCCGGAGTTGAAATCGGAGCCACATGGAAGCCCTCAATTTGGTAGACCCCGTGGCCGTCAGGGTCAAATACGTTGATATCCCCTGTCATGCCATCTGGGCTGCCACTATCGAGGAAAGCTTCGACAGCAAGCTCAGTCATGGCCTCCACTGAGCTGGGCTTGCATAACTGCGGGTTTATTGCGATGTGCTTAATGGACACAGGGACATGTAGTGTGTGGACTTCATCGATGTTCCTCGCCGCTAACAAGGCCTGCAAGCTGGAGTCAATGATGGCTGGATGTAGCAGCAAAGACGAGCCCAGCTCGGTACCTGAAACTATGCCCGTCGACCCACTCGCTTGTCTAGTAAGAGCCTTCAGCCCTTGGAAGGGACCGTTGTAACCGAGACCAAGTCTTTTCAGAGATGCGTAGAAATCAGTTATGTCCATTGACTGAGAAACAGCTGGTATAGACGATCTAGGGGGCAAAGACATAGCATCTTGTTCCCCAAACGACACAGTCAGTTCTCCGGAGGCGCATGTCTTTAGTTTCCCAGCAATATTAGCGTAGCATTGGAAGGCTGCAATGATGACATTGCTTTCTGATTTCGTAATGCCTAATTTCGAGATTATCTCTATACCCCGTGGATCGTCAGGAATAGGAACAGCACAGTGGATGCGCACATCATCGAATTCCACCAACCGCAAAGGTTGGCCACGTGCGGCTTTTGCAGCTGCTTCCAATGCCATTGATATGTATCCGGCCGCAGGGAACACAGTCTGAGATTGAACCTGATGGTCATTAAGCCATCCGAGTTCTGTCCGGCTTAAGTAGTTGCGCCAGCGCCATTCGTCTTCGCCTGTCTCAGGGCTGAGAGTCCCCAAAAGAGGGTGTGGGAGATCAGAGTGGAATAGGCGCGCTTTAGTATGGCGAGACAGCGTCCAATAAGCTCGTGTTTTGTCGAAGGGATATGTGGGTAGGCATTTCACGAAACGGCTTCCATATGAATTATCGAACAGTGACAGATAACGTTGGATGTCTATATTCGTTCCCAGATGTGTCCAGAGTGAGCCAATAGCCCGAGCAAATACCTCCGTACTGTTGGCATCACGCTCAGCCAAACCAAGGTAGGTTGTCTCTGGCTCTACATCTGCCATCTCAGTTATTGTTTGCAAGACTGGTCCTCTGAGTGTGGGACGTGGCCCAACCTCGATCAATAAATCAAATTTGGGATTGTCTGCAAAAGCGGCCGCTACTGCCTGAGAGAAAAGCACGGGACGAAGCATGTTCTGGCACCAGTATTGAGGAGTGATATCTTCAGTGTCTAGCCTCGTTTCCTTGTGTACGCTAGAAATCCACGTTGTTGTCGTAGTATTTGCCCGAATTCCACAGGCCTCGAGAGCGCGCAGATACGGTGCAGCGCATGGTATCATATGGTGCGAATGATAGGCGATGTCCACATTCAGACGATGCACCGCGAGATCTAGGCTTTCTAACATCCATTCGAGTTCCTGTATCGCTTGTGTATCCCCAGAAAACGTGACACTTACCGGAGAGTTACTTGCAGCAACTCTGACTGTCTCGCTGAAGCCACCTTCAGAGCAAAGTGCCTGCGCGTCTTCCCAGGGAATTCCACTGACCAGCATAGCTCCAGGCTGGCCATTTGCGACAGCCTGTTCAGCTACGAAACCTCGCAGGTATGCAACCCTGATAGCATCTGCTGCGCTCATAGCGTCTGCAGCATAAGCCGCTGCAATCTCACCCGACGAGTGTCCCACAACAGTGGAAAAATGAACCCCCAGAGCCCGTAAAAAGTTTACTTGTATTATTTGCACAGCTGTGCGCAGGGGCTGTGACACAACTGCTTCATGGATTCTTGAAGATGACTCGGGAGCTGAGAGCTCCTGAACCAATGAAAAGTCCGGACGGTACTCCAATGGAAGACTGTTCAACGACTCTTGCAGTTCTGTCATCCAGATCATGGCTTGTGGACTGGCTGAAATCAAGTCCCAACACATTTGCGGATACTGCGCGCCTTGTCCAGTAAAGATACCCAGTACTCGTTTTGGTGCACGGCTGGGCCGGGACATAATACTTGGAACTGCTGGTGACCTTCGCTTCTCAAGCTCTATCTTAATCTCAAGTTGAAGGGCTTCAATTGAAGCTGCTGCGATAAAAACACGGTGACTAAATGCTGATCGTCGTTTTAGAAGAGACTCAGCTAGGGTTATTAAGTCGACGGCAGGGTGCTCTTGAAGAAATTGGTCATAGCATTCTAGAACCTCTATCAGGGTTTTCGCCGTGCATGCAGAGAAAGTAAATGGAAGTAGTCGTGGGCACAAGAAATGCTCTAGCGTCATTTTCGTTGGAGGACTATAGCTTTCAATGATCGCATGTGCATTACTTCCACCGAAACCAAATGAGTTAACCGAAACCCGGCGAGGAACACCTGGGGCAAGGCTGGGCCACGACAATGGCTCGGTTGGTATGCGAAGTCGAGAAGTCAGAGGTGCAATAACTGGATTGATGCGCTCCAATAGCATGTTCGAGGGTATAATACCATTCTGGACACATAAAGAGGCCTTTATAACTCCCGCTAGCCCCGCTACACTTTCTGTATGGCCAATGAGGGTTTTTATTGAACCCACGTACAAGGGCTCTTTGATTGACTTCTCAGGCAAGATTGAATCCCCATAGAATGCATTATATATAGCAGTGGCTTCTTGAGGATCTCCAGCCTGCGTGCCTGTGCCATGGGCTTCAAAAAATTGGCACCGGTCTTCGAGATGGTCTGCGGGATTTAGCCCGACGCTGGCATATGTTGAGCGTATAAGCTGTAATTGGGCAATGCTAGATGGCATTGTAATTCCCATACTGTGTCCATCGGCGTTGATTCCTGTGGCGCGGACGATGCATTCGATGGGATCCCCGTCCGCAATAGCATCGCTGAGGCGTTTCAAGACCACGGAAGCGATACCCTCACCCCGTGCATAACCATCCGCGCTTTCATCCCACATCCGACACCGTCCGGAGGGGGAGAGTAAGTGCATCTGGGATGCTGCAATATACTCACGGGGGCTAAAGATGAGGTTGCTAGCCGCCACCAGGGCTATGTGACAGTCCTGGTTTCGCAGAGCACTTACTCCTTGGTGGAGGGCTACCAAGCTTGAAGAGCATGCGGTGTCTATCGTTATTGATGGCCCATGCCAGTCAAAAAAGTAGGAAATACGGTTGGAAAGCATCGAGGCTGCCGTTCCGGATGGGGTATACATGGGAACCTCATCCCAGTCACGGCTGATCAAACTGGCATAGTCCGTACTCATAAGGCCACAAAAGACTCCTGTGTCAGAACCTCGAAGGGCTTCTAGTGTTAAGCCTGCTGTCTCCAATGACTCGTAGACGACCTCCAATAGTAAACGTTGCTGAGGGTCCATCGACTCTGCTTCAACAGGGGAGACATTGAAAAAAGGCGCGTCGAATGCGCGGGGGTCCTCAGTAAGAAAATAGGATTCAGGAGAATTTCCTGTGCCATGATGTTTATCAGGATGGTAAAAGGCATCATGATTGAACCGGTCCTTGGGTGTCTTAGAAGCTACATTGCGTGGATGAAGCAGAAGGTCCCAGAGCCTAGTCGGGGAGGATGCTGAGCCTGGGAATCTGCAACCTGTCCCGATAATTGCGATGGGTTCAGGGACCAACATGAAGGCGAGTGAGGGAAATACTTAGTGAAAACAGAATAATCAATCGATTGCTGGTGGTCCAGGAAGGAAAGACCACCGGGTCAGATGACCGAGGCGGACTGCAGGTTTCCTTTCCTTCTTATACACTTCAACTTTCTCCCATGTCATTTGGTTTCTCGTGGCCCGCTTGTGACCAATTAGCCTTGGTTTAGCTCCGTGGCTTAGGTCGTCTAACTTCTAGGCAAGTGCATTTTGGAGAAGTAACAGCGCTAATGTTAGAATGGGGCAGTTGTTGGTACACTTCCCCATGCAGGCAGGGCAGACGCCTCCTGACCAAGTGACGTTCTTGTTGGGATAGTGCAGGTGGGGTAAAGGGATGCAAATCTGGACCTGTCACTCGGCATGCAAGGCTCCTCCTTGACTGCCATGCTCATCTCTTAGTCGATAGACCTTGGAGAACTGGCGTTGCACCAGTGGACCACCAGCAGGGTGTCATATATCCAAGCCATTGAGCGTGATGAAGCGAACAAGGGCAGGGCGCTGCAATCAGCACTTCCTCCCGGCTGGCTCGAGACAAAGGCATTTATGGGTGTGACTTGGGATTCTATTGGACGGATCGATGCTCGTGCTGCAGTTGCAGAATCGCGGCCAGTCGGAGGTAAGACCATTCTAGGCTTGGTACCTCTTCTGTCCTTCGGTTGGTTCATCGCCGTCATCAGCGTCGCCTAGAACTACCCCGACATATGCATGTCTCGGATTCTTTCAGAGCATGGATATTTCCGTCACATCAAGCATGCACGCCCATAATGCGAAGAGGAGTCTGTTGTCAATACTAAGGTTACTTCCTATCACCAACCGGCAGAGATTTCCGTGTGTTTTGGGAAAAATAACTTATCTCATGGGCACAGGAAGGTGCCTCGCTCATGGAACTCGTCAGAACTCGGGGTCCCTGCGCCGCTAGATAAGCTAGCTGCATCACCCACCTACATCGGATTCAGATTAGATCACCGTCACAACAAACAAGGCAACTCTGTCCAAGCGCTTACCATGCGACTAATCATATGGAGCAAACTCAACCCTCTTCCGATTTCGCTGTACCCAAATATAGGACCTGGAGAATTCAACCCCCATTTGGGTAGCTACATTCTGACAGGCGTTCATACCCGCCTAGTCTGGTGATCTGATTATGCCTACAGCACACTTCCTGGTGAGGTAGTACGGGCAAACTACTGCAGCATGATGCATGCTCCAATTCGTCAGCCGGAACTGACCCCATCTTGCATGCTCCCTTTCAGACTGATGCAATTTGTGCCGAAGTAGCTGAATACGGGCTTCGTGTCTGCTCGTGGCTCAGGCGCCATCCCGAAAACGAGACAAAACGATCTTACCTCAGACATACCTGCTAATTGCCATTCTGCTACGCCTGAGCCAGTCTCTGCTTCCATTATGATGAACTTGCCAACTGTGCACAAGGATGTGTTGTCCTTTGCCTTTGATCACTCGGTTGACTATGACGAGAGCCAGCCACTCTATATTGATGCAAGAAATCCATCGCGCAGTCTAAATGCCATTCAGTTACGTCGATTAGTGCGGGCTTTGATCGCAGGCCTCAGGCGGTATATTAAGCAAGGAGAGTGTGTGCTGGTTCATCTGGGCAATAGCGTAGGTTAAACCCACAAGCAACGCCTAGTAGTTCCTAATGACTGTATCTAATAAACAGTCCTTAGTATGTTCACTCAACTCTCTTCTTCGGCATAGTAGGAGCCGGGGGCGTTTACATGGGTGCCAGCCCCGAAAGCCCACCTCATGAACTAGCCAATGTTCTTGAGCTGGGGAGGCCAAGGCTAATCATTACGACAAACCAGACGCTTCATGCTGTCTTGAGTGTTGCAACCAGCAAAGGCCTCGGTCCGGAGCAAATCTGCCTGTTTGAAGAATTGACTATCACTAGCTTTCTAGAGTCAACCCTCAGTTATCGTCGCCAAAATGCTGAAACCATCACATTATACGATCTTCTCGCCTGCGGCGACGAGGATTGGATCAAGTTCGATGACGAATCCCTGGCCAAAACCACTCCAGCCGCTATGTATTGCACCAGCGGCACCAGTGGGCTTCCCAAAGCCGCCATTATCTCGCACCAGGCCGTTGTCTCTCAGCATCTTAACAAGCACTATGAGGTTCCATACGCTGTCAGAAGACTAGTCATTGTTCCAGTGTACCATCGCTTCGGGGCACTCTGGCACGCATTCCCAATCCGTCAAGGAGAGCCAGCCTACTTCCTGCAAAAATTCGAACTGAATCACTTCCTCGACGCTGTTCACAGCAACAGAATAACAGACGTATTTATTGTGCCAGCAATAGTTCATCTCTCACTTCAGTCCTCTCGGCCTGTAGCAGAGCTCCTTTCATCTCTGCGTATGGTAGGCGTCTCAGGCGCGCCCATCGACACGGGATCATTGCAAAAGTTCCAAGAACTGCTACACAAACAAGCTACTGCGGCGCAAAGCTGGGGCATGACAGAGACCGGCCCGGTATTTGTATGCAGGTATGGAGAGCGCGTCGATAAAGGAAGTATCGGAAAGCTTGTCGGGATAAACGAGGCAAGACTCATCGACGACGAAGGCATGATAATAACCAGCGACAACTGTCCCGGTGAGCTCTACGTACGAGGCACAGGATTATTTTCGAACTATAGGGGACGAGATGACGGAGTCGACGCAGATGGATGGTTTCGAACAGGGGACGTGGCCTACCGACAAAACGAATACTACTACCTGTTTGGCAGAGCCAAGGAAATCATCAAAGTACAAGGGCAAGTAGCACTTAGACTACCCTTTTACTACCGTCCCTCTAACAGTGAAATTCAGGAATCAAGTGGCCCCCGCCGAAATAGAAGCCATCCTCTCCAAGCACCCAGGAATATCCGATGCCGCCGTCCTCGGAGTCCAATCCAGTGATAAGAGCACCGAACTGCCCCGAGCATTTGTGGTGAAATCACCAGCCTTTAACGCCAAACTGACTGCAGATGAGGTCTACCAATTTGCGAAGTCCCAGTTAGCAGGGTACAAGGCTTTAGATGGAGGCGTAGTGTTTGTCTCTGATATTCCTCGGACCGCGAGTGGGAAAATACTACGAGCCAAGTTGGCACAGATGAATGCTCGACGGGAGAAGATCGCCCAGGTACTTTCTCGCCGTGTTATCAAGGCGGTTACTTGATCAAGGAGCTGGGTAAATGGTGGTGGTGGTGGTGGTGGTGGTCTTTGAAACATACCTTCCATGCACACGTTCACACTCGAAAGACCCTTATTAGTTTTTCAACCTGGTAGATTCCGTCACACTCATTTACCTATGCAGATTCGTAAATCACGCAATGCATCTCATGTCAGCAACTACTTCCTAGCTCACTACCTACTACAACCGACGCATTATGCAGTCATTTACATCTAGACCAGGCCAGCATAATACCAGCCCCCGAAAGGGCCCAACAGCTCTACGAACAAGACAACAAAACCACATACAATAAGTAGGAAACAAGTGACCAAAAAAAGTCTTCTTTCATCTATTTGGTATATGGGTATCTATGCAACAAAAATCTATCCAAATCCAAGCCCGAAGCGAACATCATCCGTAACATAACGATCATAAAGCCTCTATCCATGCATCATTCATTTTGACATGCCGTAACCTCCGTAAGCAACCCATCCAATCCACGGAATCCCTCTTCCACAACCCATTTCTGTCCCTGAGCGGGATGTAGAACATGGCAGCTCGCGCCGACAACCAAGAGACCAGGGGGTCTTGAGCCCTCGGCTTCGAAGGCAGCGCTGACGTGCTCCAGGGTAGACCGGATGACGCGTTGGTCGGTGCAGGAGGCTCGCTCGATGATTGCGCATGGAGTGTCTTTCGGCCATGGGGTCCGTGGGCGGGCACCCTCTGCTGGCTCGGTGGTCAGGGATTCTATGAGCGCGGACAGACGGTGCAGGGCCATCAGGAAGACGACGGTTTGTGTGGGGACGTAAGTAGGGGGTTCTGGGGCTGCGCCTTTGCGGCCTGTGCCTGTGCAGACGAGGACTTGGTCGGATACGCCTCGGTGGGTGGCGGGGATGTCTGCGAAGAGGGGTGCGCTCAGTGCACTGGTGATACCGGGGAGGACCACGGGTGTGTAGCCTTCGCCTCGGAAGAATTCGAATTCTTCACCTCCTCGGCCGTAGAGATAGGGGTCACCCTGCTTCAATCGGAGGACGTATCTTCCTCGACGTAGGGAGTCCAAGCCCATCTTCAAGAATTCCTCCTGGGCCTGGTCTGCGTTGCCTGGGAACTTTCGCGCGATGTGGACTTCTGTCCTGCGGGGGATGAGTTCTAGAACAGGTGCTGGGACGAGTTTATCGGCCAGGATGATGTCGGCGGATTGGATGGCATTGTATGTCGCGCGTGTAAGTAGATCCGGGTGTCCTGGGCCGGAGCCAGCAAGAACAATCTTGCCCTTCTTTGACAAGGTTTCCGAGTTGCTGAGATCTTTTGGTCCGTCTTTGCTAGACGAGTAGGCCTCGAGAATGGCATTGATATCTTCGTCTGTGATGGCGGCCAGTTTTCGAAGGGGCCAGTATTCACAGATCTGGGACAGCCAGCGCATGCGGCGGGTCTTGGCTGCGGAGATGTCGTCCTCTGTCACTAATGTGTTGAATGTGTGCCGTTGGCCAGTCGCATCATCCTCGTCACCCTCTAGCGGTGCATCGCATAGTCCGGCAGCATAATCCTCCGCCCATAGGCGCTTTCTCACTGCACCTAGCCTGTCAATGGCACTTCCGAGATTCGATGGGAGTCCCGAGGAGATTTCCCTTCTGAGTCGCGAGGCCAGCTTACAGCCGCGACCCGACGTTGTGATGCCGATGTGGAGAGGGCCGTCCGAATACGTAGACAGCAAGCTGAAGGTACAGAGTTCCGGAGCATCTGAGACATTGACTGGGATTCTCAGACGACGGCAGAGCTTAGAGATGTGTGCACTCAATGGGTTGTTTCCGCCTAGAGTGACAAAGACCGTGTCTACAACACGGTCGACTTCCTCTCTTCCTAGGCTCGTAAGATCCTCATCCTGGAACTCTCTACGGAGCCACTTCAAAGAGCCGTTCTCAATCCGTTCGACCAACGTGTATTGCAGGCTCTCTGTGTCCGGGGCGATGAGAACGGGCTTTGCGCCAGCTTCAATGCTTTTGGCACAACGGGCTGCTGCAAGAGGGTTGGCCCCGATGATTAGGTGGACTTGTGACTCAACGTTCACGGCTGTCAGTAGAGGTGCCGGAACACCACTATCTGATGCGTCCTTCATGTTTGAATTGCCACCGCAGGGTTTGCGGTCTAACCTTCAATATTTTTTGGAGTTCGTTGTTGTCGTGAAAGTTTTTGGTGGTAAGAGCAATCAAGACCCTGAATTGGAGGACCCACGTTGATTTATGCTTGCATCCCACAATTAAAGTCGTGAGTCGATTAAGTTTCCAGGTTCTTCAACTCCGCGGAAAAGCCAACTGATGAGCAACGACTGCAGATAAGAACCACGTTCTCCAGTCAGCACGTCTGGCAGGTCGATAAGACTATCTCAGCGATTAATAAACGGAGTCACCACAAAAAACCAGCGGACTTGGAGTCATTCTGCCTCTGGGAAATTTATAGATGCATTTCCTGATGGGGTTAAGGCGATATTGCGTGATCGCAAGCAGTGGCTTAGGTAATCCAACCCCGGATTGGGAGATTCAGTATGGTGCCTGATTCAGTAACAATGAGTAACTATTAGCTGAGATGACTGTTTTGACATCTTATGCTCTTATCGTGATATCTGGCAGAATAGAGTATAGTCGAGATATGCTCAACGATTGTATTCCATGACGGGTGTGATTTGGGGGCATGACTCTAGACGCGAGCATATGTTGTGATATGTTCATTGAGAAGAGTTAGTGTTCTGACACTTCAGTATTTCTGAGAAGAGTTCAAGCATTCCACGTGGTGAAAACCGATCACTGATAGAATATAAGTGCTAACTGGTTCGTGATGGTCTCGTGTGTCTCTCCTAGTAACCAAAACATTGGCCAGATCGTGTTAGTTGGTGGCCGGGAATGTCCCATTCATCATAAAAGACAACCGGATGTAGAAATTTTGACATATTTTCCATGGAAGGAGAAGTCATATCGCTACGAGGTCAGATTTATCGATAGATGGAGGCACACGTCTACGATATGAATAGTATTGTCGAAGGATGTTGTTCTGGTCCAAGTGCTGCAGCGGTGTATATCACGTGACACAGCTGCCGCCAGCTCGAGCTGCACGTCAGAGCTCCGATCCAGTCCATGCTTCCACTCATCTTTCATCATTCCCCCCAGACTCCCATCTTCTCCCAATAATCCCTCCCATATCTTGCATTCTTCTTTCTCTTCCACAGGTTGATATCCGCCAAATTTGATATATACCCTGCTGTGACGCTTCCCCGTCACCATGTCCGAAACCCTGTTGAAGCCGGAGAAGGACTTCTCCAAGGATGCTGACAAGCTGATCCCCGAGGCTGAGCAGCTTGCTAAGGTCGGAGCCCTACCTTTAGCTCTGCATACATAGCTTACTGACTGTCAATAGACCGATGTTCAGGGTGCCATTGACAAGCTCCTTGTATTGGAGAAGCAAGCAAGACAAGTACGGTCCTTCTCTCGTTCGTTTGGCGACAACGCGATTCTTACACATCCTACAGGCTTCGGATCTTGCCACAACATCGCGCATTCTTATCACCATCGTCACACTCAGCAAGAACTCGGGAGACTGGAACCTGCTGAATGACCAGGTGCTCCTGCTATCCAAGAAGCATGGCCAGCTCAAGCAGGCCGTAACGAAGATGGTCCAGACGGTGATGGGATTTTTGGATGAAACACCGAACTTGGAGGTCAAGCTGTCCGTCATCCACACACTGCGGACTGTGACTGAGGGCAAGGTCAGTGAAATAACCACCCGTCCAGCTCCGCATCATGCTAATGCGCGTCTACATAGATCTTCGTCGAAGTCGAGAGAGCCCGTGTGACCCGCATCCTTTCCAACATCAAGAAGACCCAAGGCGACCTTAACGCTGCCGCCGATATTCTTTGCGAGTTGCAAGTCGAGACATTCGGTTCCATGACCAGACGGGAGAAGACAGAGTTCATCCTTGAGCAGGTTGCGCTCTGCATAGAACGGGGCGACTGGACACAGGCCACCATCCTCAGCCGCAAGATCAACAAGAGATACTTCAACCGCAAGCCGAAGAAGAGCCCGGAGGAAATCGAGAAGCTGAAGAAGGAAGCCGAAGAGAAGGAGAAGACGCGTAGCCCGGATGAGGCACCGATGGAGGTGGACGATGACGTGACCGACTTGAAGCTTCGCTACTATGAACAACAGATTATCCTCGCCAACCACGACTACAAATATCTGGATGTTTGCAAACATTACCGGGAAGTGCTGGATACGGAGTCGGTGGAGAACAACCCGGAGCAGCTTCGTGCCGTAGGTTTAACCTTGGGTGGCTAATTGATACCTTCAAGCTAACATCATCCAGGTCCTTGCCAGGATTGTCTACTACATTGTCTTGTCTCCCTACGATAACGAACAATCCGACCTGTTGCACCGCATCCAACAGGACTCGCGGCTCTCCCTCGTCCCGGTTGAAGGCCGGCTACTGAAGCTCTTCACCATCCATGAGCTGATGCGCTGGCCGATGGTGGGCGAGCAATTCGGCCCTCACCTCTGCAACACGGATGTCTTCAAGCCTCAGCCCAGCCAGTCGGTCGAAGACCAGCCGTACCGGAGGTGGCAGGACCTCCGCAAGCGCGTGATTGAGCATAACGTGCGGGTGGTGGCCAAGTACTACACACGTATCCAGATGGGCCGGTTGACCGAACTGCTGGACCTGACGGAGGAGGAAACCGAGAAGTACATCAGCGAGCTGGTCTGTTCGAAGACGATCTACGCCAAGATCGACCGTCCAGCCCGACTGGTCAACTTCGCCAAGCCTCGCGATGCCGACGACGTGCTGAATGAATGGAGCAGCGACATGAAGAGCCTTCTGGGACTGCTGGAGCGGATCGACCATCTGATCACGAAGGAGGAGATGATGGCGCGGATCCTTCCCACGCGAGAGAAGGGCAAGGCCCGGTAGATTCTGTGTAGCAGGATAGCAGATATACACATTGATGATAGTAGAATGGGACAATAATGACATCGTCATACATACATACACACACGATCGATCTATAGTCTACATCTATGTATAATCTAAAACGGCAACTCCATCTCATTAACATCCACCTCCTCCTTCTCCTTCTTCCCCCCAGCCGCATTACCATCCCCAAGGACCCCCCTCACAAACCCCACCACAGCATCCAAATACGGCCTCTGCGCCGGCACAAAATGCCCCCCAGGATGCACCACCACCCTCCCCTCCACATCCACCGCATCAGTGACCTCCACCAACGCCCTACTCCTCCCCTCATCCACAACCGCATCCAATGACCCCAACACATGCAACACAGGTGTCTTCACACCCCCCTCATAAAACCCCCTATACCTCGGCCCCGGCGCCCGAAACCCACTATAACAAACCGCGAACTTCAACTCCTTCTGCCCAACACTCCTCACACACTCCCACCAACTACTCGGCACCTCAAATCCCTTAACATTCTCCCCGTTCTCCTCAAACACACTCCCCTCCTTCGCAAACCTACCCATCACCTCCTCCCTCCCGGGCTCCAACAACGCCGCCACAATCGCCGCCATCGCCGCACCCTGCGAGAACCCCACTACACCGTCAAACGGCCCCTCCGTCTTGATCACATTCGCGATCGTCTCTAGACCCAAGTGCAGGTCCGTGTAGAGCGGTGGGTTCGCGGTCGAGGAGCGTCGGAACCACCCGTAGGCTTCGGTGGGAGTGTCATCGCTGGTGGTAGAGCCCCCTTGTGTGGTGGAGGGCTCGTAGCCCGGGATGTCGGAGGGGAGGAGGTGGATGGGGCCCGTTGGGTAGGTCGTTGTGATTGTGTAGCCGGTTGTGGGGAGGAGCGTCTTGGTGAGGTGTTTTATCACGGCGCGAGATTTGGCGTGGAAGAGGGGGCCGGATTGTGTGTAGCCGTGGAGGCAGAGGAGTTTGAGGGGGGGCATTTTTCTTTTATTTTTCTATTCTTTTCTTCTTTCTTTCTCGGTTTTTGAAGTTCGTTTTCTGGAAAGGTGAGGGGTAAAGGGTAGTAGGTGAGAGTGGTATTGTGGGTTTAAGAGTGATTGGGTAAGTGTATGAGGAAGATGTCGGGGAGAGAAAAAGTACTAGTGGGAGGAGGATGTGAGGAGATAAGATAAGCCCGGGTGGGTGGATGGGTTGATGGTGGTTACTACGGAGTACCTAGTAGGTTGGGGTATCCTTATTTCTACGATGGGGACGGGATTTGGTTTTCCGGGTTTGAAATCTGGAATGTAGAGGTTGTTAGAGTTATGTCTAGGTGATCACTTGGTGGTCGCTGGGTATATGTTTACAGTCCAGTTGGTGGCATTCATACGAGCAAGGATGGTTTGGTCTAGATGCAAGGGCACTCAGTGACCCCAGCTTCGTGATTTGCGGAGATGCGGGCCAGATCTACACATTACGAGGGGCTACTGCTCTACTACTACACGCGAGAGTCCATACTGACCAATATAAAACATACGATTGCTACCGCACGAGGGGTATCACAACTCTGCAGTGCCGGCACTGTCCTCTCAGACCTAGTAACCAGACTCCTGCAGCCAGTCACGCCGCTCCGCAACAATACCGGAGCCGCCATCATTCATCTTCTCCACGATGGAGATCTGTTTTTTTTCCTCCTTCCACAATATCCGAATTCCTGCGGCAACCGGCAGAAGCTTATGTGCAGACGTGACTGGTGGCGTTGTGAAATTTTTCCCCATATCGTGCCCCTGTTCGAGGTACATCCGTTGTAGGTACAAGGAACAAAAGTTTGTCGAAAACGATAATCATCACGCGAAAATCAAGAGAAAAGATAAAAGGCAAGAGTAGTTTTTGGTAGTATGGACCGATCATGTGCCAGATATCCGGAACTCCCCTGCGCAGAGATGTAGGAAGATAAAAAAAAAGTAGTAAAACGCTTTTTTTGAAGAGGTGTATCAAAAACGAGGTTCTGTGTCTGGTCAAAAATTTTTTTCATTTCCCTTGTCTGTGTGGTTCCGCAGGGCTTTCTCGCAAGGGGCGAGGATTCCATCTTCTATCTGAATCTGTTTCCTCAGAAAAACGAGATATTATAATCCATCATCATTGAAGAACGCCACATTGCTTTCATCATCGCTCCGGCACGGTTGCGTCGAGACGTTTACTTGCGGCGGAAAGAGCAGCCCTCAGTGAGACGGGCCTTACCACCGGTGGGCTGGCAGAGGACGGTCGAGCAACCAGCGCAGACGACGACGGTCTGGGCGTGGGAGAAGACGGTGGTGATGGTGAAGCAGCCGGGGCACTTGACGTCCATGAAGAAGGAACGGGGAGCAGGCACAAGGGTCTGTTTGTCAAAAGAGTAACCGATATCAGCCAACCCATTCCATCCATCCCTTATCGATCACTTTTTTTCCCGATATGGAATTGTTCATACCTTGAGCTTGTGCTTGCGGGCCTCAGCCTGAGGCGCGGGGTTGAGGAGGTCGACCGCGAGAACCTATTCCGAAGGGATATCCGTCAGTTCAACATTCTTTCTTTCCTTTCGATGAAAATTTCGAGATGCCAGCGGCGACGGGATGGTGGCGACGACGGGGTGCACAGATGGCTAGCGGCGATGGCCATTTCTATGCAAGCATGCAGGGAGATATGTTGGGCAGGTTGTGGGATGGCATCGTAGGGGTAGAACGTACCATCTTGACGAGACAAAAAGTCGATCAGCGAAGGGAGTTGAATGAAGCGCTGATGGAGATGGCCTGCTTGAGGGTGAAAGCAAAAAGGTGGTCTCGTGGAGATGGCGAGCGCTGAAGGGAATTCTCGACGGCGTCACCCACGGCGGCCCGTTTGGGGGCGCATAGGGTTGCAGCCCTCTCGCTAATACTGCCCGAACAAGCACTTTTGCCACCGCCCGGCGGTGGCCCCTGTGGCTGATGCCTTCTCTACCAATCACGGGCCGCTTATATCAGCCGCCAGATGCTGCTAGATGCTCCAAGGTCCTTCGATGGAGCTCCCTTTCTTACTTTGTACTACTATCTATTTACCTGTTACTCGGACGGGCAGAGAGATTACTGTGGTTGACGCATTGTCGCCACTCGGCAACTGCTGATCTCATACAAATACATTTCTATCGCTAATCCAATACGCTGCTTAGATACGGCCATGACATACATCCCCGGTCCGGTGACATGTGCCTGCCATTCAGACACCGGACGACTTGCGACTCGGTTCCAATGCTCCTGATAGCGCAAGGCCAGGATGCACAAACGGCTGCGCCGTCCAATTAATCTACCGTCTACCGTCTTTTGCGATTCGACGTTCTCCACATGGACTCCATTCTTTTGTACCCTCACCGCCATCATTCGCAACCTCATTAGTTCGACTTCTTCGCCTCTCCATTGGCGGTCACCACTTCCACGTGAGGGTGCTTGATCGTCAAGCACCAAATGTCAATATAGTCGCATATCGTCGTGATGATGTCGTGCTGTTTGCAATTAGCGTCTCGCCCTCGAATAGTCATGCGTGACACTTACCACGAAGCTGCCGTAAACGCCGATCGACAGACCCAGGCAGACCCAGACGAAAGCGATCTGCCTCACTCCGTCACCCAGCAGACTCGGCCAGTAACCAAAGACCGCACCAGCGCTGTCGAGCACTGCCAAAGCAAGAGGGATCAGGAGCATGTTGAAGTAAGGGAAGCTGGCCTTGGCCAGATGCGCGCAGATCATCTTGCCCACGGCGTACGCATTGATCATGCCGACGTACAGGCAGAACGGGACCATGTAGTTCTCCAGGATGGTGGGTTGCAGGTAAAGATAAGCCGGCACAAGAGTCCACACCGCGACCAGGGGGAGTAGGCCATACAGGGGCTTGATCGGATCCTGACCACGCTCGCGGCGCACCTGCATGACATGCACGATGCTAGAGGCGGTGGCGAAGAACAGGAGGACTCCGCCGTAGACGAGATACCACTGCGTAAAGGCCATGTCGTAGATGTGCCCTGGGATGAAGGCCAACTTGGGAACTCCAACGGTCTCCAGCATGGAGCGATGCCAGAAGCTGCCACCGCCCATGTAGGCCGTGAAGCCAAACACAACGCAGAGAGTGAGGACACCCTCGACGGGACCCGAGATGATTCCCAGAGTCAACACCTGGGTGTAGTATTCATCCCAGGTCTGGACATAAAAGGTCATAGTCGCTGCATCTTATCAGCATCGCCCAGTACTCATAAAGTTGTCCACCACCTACATCCGAAAAGGGTCAACACAGTTGCCCAAGATTGGCCGAGGTTCATAGCCGCCGCGAAGATCAAGACTCCCAAGGCCGTGTTGCATGCATCGACACCTGCAGGCGAAGCTTAATTCCCAGTCCATCTTTTAAAAATGGTCAGGCCGTCCCATTAACTTACTGTGATCAAACAGCTCACCCAGAGGACCACTCTGCTTGGTTCTCCGCCTGCAAGATCAGATTTAGCATGCAGTCTACCAGCGGACAAGAGAATCACATCAAAAATGGGGCGCAAGGGGCAGTTCGTACGCTTGGATGCCGTCTACGCCGTCAAACGTCTGGTAAAGGAACAACCCGATGGCGCAACTGGCATAGACCCACGGCGGGCAGTCCTGGTCTAGGGTCGGGTTGTACCAGAGAATGGTGATGAAGTTGACTACCACAAAGAAGAACCCAGTCAGGGTAATCTACCAGTCCTCAGTTATTGGTCTTTGTCGCAGCAGGGCCAGTCCAGAGCTAAGATGACTTACGGCATTAGGACTAAGACCGGGGAGGGAAACAAGGCTGTTAGCCAGACGAGAATAAAACAAAACTAGAGGACGAAACAAGCCAGTATCGTCACTTACGCCATGCTCATAGGGAAGAACTTGATCACAAAGTTATTATAGAACGGCTTGAGGACATAGCGGCTAACAAGCGAAAGATCGACTCCTGCATAACGGTATTCCCGCAGCTTGGGTAGTTGATGCTGGCGAATGTACACCATGTTGCCTGTCGGTCAGAAGGACCTGAGCTACAGCGAGCAATAGGGCCTGTAAATCTAGATGGTCAAAGATGCTCGGAAGTATATGGTCTCTTGAGTCTTTGACGCGATGAAAGTCAAACCGGAAGCGGGCTGCAGTTGACGCCAGAATTGCAGATGCCGCGCGGTAAAGAAGGAAACAAGGGCCGGAGAAGGCGAACCAGGGCCAGGGGGGCGGAGAAAGGGTTGCTCAAAGATTAAAGATGAAGTTTATAAAAGGACCCGGTCGAAGTAGAAGTGTAGAAATAAAAGAAGAAAAAAGAAAAGAAGAAGATAAAGTAGCGCGAGTGGGGAGAATAAAAAAGAAAAAGCGACGCGGCGAGGAAGAAAGAAGTGGGTGCAGCTTGTTGATGCTGGCCTTGAATTTTCTAGTAACTTTTTTTTCTGCCGGCGGAAAAGTCAAGGCAAAGACAGGAGGGCGGACGCGGGGAGCCAAAAAGGCCAGTGAGGAAGCCGTATCGAGGCGGTCCCTCTTCTCTTCAACAGCCAAGAACTTTCAACGACTTTAGTCGCTGCGAAGAATCCCACCGCACAGCGTCGAAGGACCAGGTGGATTCCCGCGGAATACCCACGTGCCGTGCTGCTTTTCATTTGCTGGTTTACCTCGGACGGAGGAGACAAGACCGCACCCACGTCTCCTCATTTCCAACAACCAGTCCTGCTACGGAAGCCCGTCTGTGATCGTCGTGGGACAGGTGGGGGGCGCCAGCACACCAGCAACCAGTCTGCTGAGTCGCGCGAGGCCCGAGGCAGCTGCCCATGACGGAAATGAATTTAGTCGTCGACAAAGCGGAGTCGCGCAGGATACGCTAGAACAGTCAAGCGGGGCCATGGATCAACTTTGTTTACGTAGTACAGCAGCTGGTCGTCTACTTTGTAGAGACTCTGGAGATAGACAGGAGACGGGGATAACAGATACAACAAGATGTCAGTTTGAACATAGGTATGCTAATGCTAGATACGATACACAAAGGGCATCAAGGCCGGCTCGTGAGAGGAACAATGAGCAGCGTGCCGAGTGTGTACACTACCCCAGACGGCTCGAGGGCCTCATAATTCGGCATTCGCTGCAACAGTAGGCAGGGCTGAGTCGCTCCATCCTTGATCGGTCTCCTGTTTATCCCCCATACCTCCTATTCCACCTCTGTTCATGGCGCTCGGACCGTTGAGGAACACAAGTCATCGGGCTTGGCTCCGTCTGCCTGGGTCCTGGAAAACTCACCCCGTGATCAAGACCATGTGATGATCGTCGAGTTGAACCGGCTTAGCCAACAGGACTCCAGGGCATGGGAATCAGGATCCGACTCTGCATGGTCTGAATAAGTGGCACCGTCTTGTGGACAGTTTCCCCCCAGCCTTCGATGCCCCAAGACTGCTCACGGCGGACTTTACGCTCTTCGAGGTTCGCAAACTGCCAGAGATGGTGTACAGTGTTCAGGTCGCCAATTTGAACGAACCATGCCCCAACACCCTCCATCACCTCCCGGCGGGCCTTGAGGCCACGACGCCAGTGTGTTTCCCACTCCAGAAGATTTCCGGGATGAAGAGTGTATGATCGGAGCTCAAAGAGGCCGCCCAGGCGCCGTGGAGGCGTCGTGGGCCAGAAAGAGAATTCCTGCATCAGCGACGTCTTCTTGCTCTTGATCAAGCTCTTCAACTGCCGGTCAAATTCGGGAAATTCAGGGTGACAGGAGATGTTGTGGAGGGAAGCATGGTAACCTTCATATCGCTGATATTCCCAGATGTGAACTGCAAGAGCCGTTAGCATCCATAGTAACAGAGGCATTCTCAGCGCAACTGGAAAGGCTGAATGGGCGCATCAAGTCAAGTACCAAAGGTGTCATTATCTCCAACCTGCGTGCGCCAGCTGCCAACCAAATTCACCCGGTTTTCAGGGTCGGCAGCCATGCGAGGGTACCACTGGCCGACGAGGTTCACATAGTCGTCAACTTTATCGGGCTTCACGTCGTGAAAGACGATGGAGTGTACGTATTTTCCACGGGCGAGAACCTGCGAGAATGACCGTTCGATATCTTTGTCCAGCTGCTGGCCTTCCTTCGTTCCGTAGATGAGCGACGACAGGGGGCCGCGCTTCGGAGACTGACTGGCTTCCTGCAGCTGCTCGTCTCCTATAATACGGTGGGTAGAAAGTGAGCCCAAAGCCTTATTATCAAGAACTTCAGCGGCATCAAAAACGGGATGTTTGTTACTGCTCGCATTGCTCTCACCTGGAGCAGTGGGAGCGGTAGCGTACTCACGAAGGCGGTCACGGGATGCAGGGGATGGGGCAGAGGTAGAACCAGAAGCATCGACAGACTGACTCTCTTGCTGTTCTCTCTTCTTGCGAGCAACCTCTAGGTTCTCGCGAAACTCCTTCTGACGTGCGTTGAACTCAGCAGCCGAGTCGGGGGTGATGTCACGGATAGAGGGGGCGCGGGAGGCAGTGGCAGTGGAACTGAAGGGGCGAACCAGCGAAGACGCCGGCCGCAACAAGCGTGGGGCGAGCATGATTCCGTAGAGAGCTTATAGCTATACAGAAACGGATGCTGAGGCAAGGGATAGAATGGGGAGATTCTTCACAAAATAGAGGCAGGACAAGGTAGTCGGACAAGCAACGAGGGGGACAGGTAAAATGAAGGATGGATGGACGTGTGTCGGGTTGACAGCGAATACAGAAGAGGAGCCCAACGACAGCGATTAGACTGCGAAAGGCGACACAAGAGAAGAGGGGTTTTACCGACAGGAGAGGGGAAGTAGATGAGTAGATGTAGAAAGAGTAACTGAGACAGCAGGTAAGGGCAGGGATGGGAGAGGTAGGTAGACACGCGATGCGTTACAACGACCTGACCGACGGCTGAAGGGAAGGCGCACTGCAGCAGGAGTCCACGGAACCAGTCAGGTCGCAAGCTTTAGAGTCCAGGATCAGCAAAGAGGAAGGTCGAATTGTCGGGCGGAGAAGTAATAATCCCCAATGACGGTTGTCGGTAATAAGCCACGGGTATGTAGGATATTAGGTGACAATCGAATAGAGCCAATGGAGGGTGAGTGTGGAGAGTGAATGGGGGAGGGAAGAGTGAGAGGAAAAGAGAGAGAGGAAAAGGAAAGGAAGGTAGTTGAGTGGTTAAGGTACTTCCGGACGGCACAAGTGGGAAACTGGGGAAAAAGGCGTCACTTGCTCATTAAACTGGAAAAGTGCGGGGAAACAAGCCTGTGAAGAGCCCAAGACCTGTCTTGTCTGTTCTGCTAAATAACGTAACTGGGCTGTGCTTTCTCTCTCCGTGTTCTCGGCTACTGCCAATGTAACTTGAGCTGGGGCCTGCCTTATATAAGGGCTAATCACCAATCCCAGCCCTAGTGTACTAATCCCATTGTGCTGATACAGCTCTTGTTTTCTTCTGCGGATGATGTGTTGTCCCCGAGATAGACATTCCTCATGATTTGTCCATTCCATTTGTCTAGGCCGATCTTCGTTGCCTGGCCCTGCATCTCCGAGACCATGACGAAAGCGGTCTTGCTTCCTTTCCTCCGCGTTCACGGCTACGGACATGATAACGGGAAATGAGGTTATCTTCATTGATATCTTCAACCCGATTGGTAACGGCTCATCAATTGCCTATAACACACCGGGGTTTTCGGTAAGTAAAGAGCTGATGATAGCTGGCAGCATCCATCACCGCCTCAAGCGTAGCTCCCAGCACCGATGACGTCGTGACCGGAGCTGTCTCTTATGTAATCAGAAGCGAGCCGCGCAGTGATCCGGGCCCGGAGGGCTAGTACTAAATGAGACTAGTCCGGTAGACCCAATGCGGTAGCTCATCTGGTTGCCGGTCACACCCCTCCAGCTGAGCTGGCCCGCCACTGCCACTGCCACTCACTGTGTACTGTCCTACCTGAGAGCTCGTTGACTCGACAGAGTCCAAGCGCACTTGCTACACTTGACATCCAGCACCTCTTAACCTACCTAGCCTCTGAAGATATTTTCTCCGTGTCCTACACAATGGCGGATTCTATGAACCCTCCCCTCTCGTACGAGGCCTCAGCCACAACTACTCATCCGCATGTCGGGACTACCCTCCCAACGGAGGTGATTTCATGTCTGAAGAATTCTCGATTCGTGAGTACTGCAATTTCCATACCTTTATACCGTCATTGTAATCGGAAACTAATTTTGTACGCTGTCAGCTTCACCTTGCAACATGTGATGGCTTGACCCCGCACATCTCGCTCATGTCCTACACCTACCTCCCCTCGACTCCCTATGACCCGTATCCGACGATTATCATGACCACCAACCCTTCCTCTCGCAAAACCAATCATCTGCTCACCAACCCTCGCGTGTCCCTTCTGGTCCATGACTGGGTTTCGCACCGTCCGCCTACCCGGGCTCCCAACCCCGATGGTCGCGAGGGGTCTCCCCCGCCTGCAGCCACACGTTCCTCTTTGGCGAGCCTGTTGTTGAACCTGAACACAAGCGCCCTTTCCAGTATTTCCACAACTATCGCCGGTACCGCGCGCTTCTTGGAACCTGGTTCTGAAGAGGAGGCCTGGTGCAAGAAGCAACATCTGGAGAACAACACCTTCGAGGAAGAGCTGGGCACTTTCGGACAACAGTTGCAGCAACAACCCGGTCAAAGACGGCCCAGTATTTCAATCGACAGCGATGTCCGCGTTGTGACCGTTCAGGTGCGCGAGGGCCGCATTGCAGACTGGAAGGGTGGCGTGAGGGATTGGCAGTTGGTATCGGAGGGTGAGGGCACGCAGGGAACGATGGTTAATGGCATTGCGCCCGAGTAATGCTTGTTAAATGCTGTGATTTCTTGTATATCATATTCTATTAGTGGGAATAACAAATTTGGGGAAATTGAAAGCAAGCAAGCAAGCAAGCAGATATCCAAGCGTTGCGGACTATCTAGGTCCAGACAGTCATCGGAAGGTTCGGCGCACTCGGTTCCTGAAGATCTCTGCACACACGATCTCGCAATCATGCTCCTGGACCAATATGGAAGTATCCACTGCAGTACATAGAAAATTGAATGCACCAAGCAAACTCAATCCCAAATTAAGCTCCGGGTGTGGGAAAGAAAGCACGAAATCGAGATCGGAATTGCGTTCCTCATCACATGACACTACAATCCGGGGGAGTGACGTCCAATCTTATCAAACCGCAAGCTCAATAAATTCCACACCAACTACTATCTATTCAATAACTTCGCCCATTTTCACACTCCTTACCTCATTCAGACACCTTCCCCAGAATACGATGCAAATACACCACCAATTTTAAACACCTGCCAATCGCAATTCCAATTTCAGTCCCAACTCCACCACCCAAAAGGAAAAACCACCAGACCGACCCCAAAAATGCGCCTCGCCCACCTCCACCTCCCCAACATAACCCCCTTCAGCCGGGTCGCCAACATCCAACAAACACTCACAAGCCGACTCCTCTCACACAAAAAGCACCTCACCCCGAACCCCCCGGACCCAACCATAATAACCTTCAGCCCGAATCCCGTATACACCACCGGCCGGCGCGACCTCCCTCCCTCCAACACCCTCAACAATGCCAATGCCAACACACTGTCCCTCCCACCCAGCCTCGAACCAATCCGCCAAATCCTAACCCCACCGGATAATAAACCCTATGATCCTACCTCCCGGGTAGCAGAATACCACCCCACCCTGCGCGGTGGACAAACAACCTACCATGGGCCGGGCCAACTAGTCGCATACACGATTCTCGATCTACGACGGCTGGGACTCACGCCGCGGTGTCATATACGGTTGTTGGAGAATAGTGTGATTGATGTATTGAGGGAGTATGGGGTGAGGGGAATGGTGACGGAGGATCCGGGGGTTTGGGTGCATGGACGGAAACAACATGGAGGGTCTGAGGGGGGGAAAGGTGAGCTGCCGAAGAAGATTACGGCGGTGGGGGTGCATCTTAGGAGACATATTAGTAGTTATGGGATTGGGTTGAATGTGACGGAGGAGCCGATGTGGTGGTTTCGGCAGATTGTGGCGTGTGGGTTGGAGGGGAGGGAGACCACGAGTTTACAAGGGCTTGGGGTGGAGGGGGTGACGGTTGAGGAGGTGGCTGGGAGGTTTGTGGGGAAGTTTGTTGGGAGGGTGAATGGGGATTTTGCGTGTGGGGAGGGGGCGACGGGGGAGGGGATTGACGAGGTGTATAGGGTGAGTGAGGAGGATTTGTTGAGGGAGGAAATGGAGTGAGTGTGGTTATGGTCTTTGTTTGCATGCTGGGGGGAGGGTGCGGTTGAGAAGGAGTTGGAAGGAGGTTCTTGAGTACGCGGGATACGGCGTGTTCATTATCAATGGTACATTTGCATAGTCTATACCAATGGTCGATGCGGTGATCGACCAGAGCGAATGATGGAATATAGATAAGCAGCCATGGGTGTGTCCCGACTGGCGCGCTTTTCTGGAAGGTATCCCCAGAGCAAACATTAGGTATACAGGATTACAACAGGGGTCCAAGACAAGTATATATAGAGAAGAGAACAGAGCAAGGCATGACAGGCTGAAAACGCCCAGGAAATGATAGCTCGATGCCAGTGGTGGGAAACCCAGGGCATTCCCCCGGTTGGAACGGTCACAGCAAATGATCCAGCTCAATGGCGGAAGAGCAAGCAGGTAGAAGGGTATAAGAACAGAGCAATGCAATAGTCGACAAGTCATGAAGGATGGCCAGCGGCATGTCTAGAGAATGACACACCGTTCGCTGGATCCGTTAGAGCCCTGAGTTCTGACTTCCAGGGCGACCTTTGCAGCTTCGTAGAATGTTTCCATAATACCACGATTTTGCACAGCGGAGCACTCTGTCAAGATGTCAGGAACCATCACGCGAATGATATCACGGGATGGGAGTCGCCCTTACCCAGGTATTTCACAGCACCAATTTCCTTGGCTTTCGCCAGTCCTTCTTCGTAGGTGATCGCGTTCGGGTTGTCGTTGAGGAACTCATCCTTTCTCAGATCACACTTGAGAGCAGTAAGCACCAATTTGACGCCGGCGCAGTTTTCCGAGATCTCTTCAATCCATTTGCTCGCCACGTTCTCAAACGAATCGCGACTGTCAACCTAGTAGGAGTCAACCTCTTATCCAATCCTCGAGGAGCGGGAATCCTCACGCTGAAACAAAGCATAATCACGTGTGTGTCCTCGTATGATAGCGCGCGCAGTCGGTCAAATTCTTCCTGGCCGGCCGTATCCCATAGCGACAATTCCATGTGTACATTGTCCACGAAGATATCTTAGATGGATGTGAGCATGCGAGTTTGTTTATGTAGGGAGGAGGAAGTACCATGCACGTAATTTTCTGGAAAGCACAACGGTCAGCAGTATGATCATCATAAGCCAATGAAGAGCATGCGCACCGAATACAGTAGGCTCACTATGTAGGTGGGAAAGATTAATATCGCAACAGGAAATCAGCTTTCAGAAAGGTCATCCTCACTAGACCGTAGGAAAGTATCTACCAGAAAGTTAGCGGTCTCGACCACAGAAGAAAAATACAAGGGGTGCCCACCCTCTGGTGAAGACATTCAGAGCGGAGGTCTTGCCGCAAGCGCCGTCCCCTCTTATCTGAAATCAGCAATCTGCCCATCAAATGTAACTGCCAAGGCTTGGTGAAACTGACAATAGCACCATCTTACGTCGAACGACCTTTTGGCGACCACAGAGACTCATTGTGACGGTAGTTGGGAGTGGTGGATGTGTCGAGATGCGCGGAAAGAAGGGTCCTAGTAGATAAGGGAGGGAAGGGGCTAGATGGGGAGGGGATCAACCGAAGAGCAGAATGGCGAACAGAATGAGGGGATAGTGAAGAGGAATAAAGTGTGCGGAGTAAGGGCTAATAGGTACGAATAGCGTTTCACGAGGCACTGATCTGGCTAGAGTAAAAAAAGTGGTTGCGAACACGAAGATAAGTCGTGGGCCGCCGTGCAGCGAGGCCGGTCGATGTCATCGGCTCCGTCCTGCAACGGACGATCCGCAAATGAGAGACGATCGTCATCTGCCAAGTGCCTGAGCCGCTGAGTTCGCTTCGCCACGCCTCGCAAAATTTCACCCGCAAAGATGGCTAGTTCTGACAGTGGGTAGAGTGTGCCCTCCACAGTAAAGTGGCAGTGTCTGTTGAAACCATGGAGGGTATTGCTTATACTAGCCAACTCAGTAGTAGTATGATGAGTGAGCGTACCCTTCCTGCCTTAAGGCGGTGCGGTTAGTTGTAGATGTCGGGTTCAATTTAGCACGCAGATTCAGGCTGTGACAGGCGCCAATCGCTCAGATTGGCTTTATATTTAGAATCATTGCATGCAAGTCTAACTCGAATCGGTCTGACTAAATGTGTCAGAGTCCATGTTTCTGTCACTGAGCCACTAATAGGCAGTAATATTAGTTAGAATAGTCTGGGTGATCTTGTTATTGAACGTGAATTGAACTTATATATAGTACAGTAAGCATAGTAGTCCTACCAGTAAGCCCTCCGTCTGACGACAATCATTGCGGAGTCTGAGCTATTGGACTGTTCAGTGTAAGATAACTCAAATAGATGTCTAGGTCATATGTTTCAGCCATCAATTACTGACAGGCAATTCCCGGGAGTAAACAAGGCTCAAGTCCAGTGTAGGTTGTTGCTATAGTAAAATGTAGTCTCGGTCGGGCCCGGCGAGGAAGCTACAAAGGCGGGGAACCTCGAACTTTGGCCCCAGGCTCCGATAGGCGCGGAAGCTCTCCATTCCTCACTCACCTTCATCTCCTTCTATCTCTTATCTCCATCGGTCTTCTAGCACGCAGTCGATCCTCTTTTGCCTCTAAGTTTTTGATTCTTTTAGATACCCCAAAACGCAGCGAGGTTTAATCCGTTCATAATGTCTGACGATGATGATTTCATGCAAGATTCGGGTGACGAGGAGTAAGCCTATGTTGTCCCTTCAGCCCGCCGATGGCCGCGGCCGCTAACCAGCTGGACTGTCGCAGGTACGACTTCGAGTACGAGGATGCAGACGATGACGAATCGGGAGACGTCGGTATCGAGAATAAATACTATAATGCCAAACAGATGAAGATAGACAACCCGGAGGAGGCCATCGATGAATTTCTGGGTGTTCCGGATCTAGAACAAGACAAGGGCGACTGGTAAGAGGCCATGTTCGTCAGTGATGGTTCAGGCAAGGTGCTGACTCTAGCCCAGGGGGTTCAAAGGACTGAAGCAGGCTATCAAGTTGGAATTCAAACTTGGGAGATATAGCGATGTAAGGCGTCACTGCGCTCTTGGCTCACGATGATAAGATACTGATTCTCCAGGCCGTTGAACACTACAGAGAGCTCCTCACTTACGTCAAGTCGGCCGTCACTCGTAATTACTCCGAAAAGTCCATCAACAACATGCTAGATTATATCGAGAAGGGATCGGACGATGACACAGCTTACCAGTGCATGGAGGAATTCTATTCTCTGACTTTGCGCTCATTCCAAAATACCAACAACGAGCGACTATGGTTGAAGACAAACATCAAGTTGGCGCGTCTTTGGCTGGAACGGAAAGAGTACGGTCAGCTAAGCAAGAAGGTGCGGGAGCTGCACCGGGCATGCCAGCGGGAAGATGGCACCGACGATCCCAGCAAAGGAACATATCTCCTCGAACTATACGCCCTAGAGATACAGATGTATGCCGAGACGAAGAACAACAAGCGACTAAAAGCGCTCTACCAGCGTGCCCTTCGAGTCCGGTCGGCGGTGCCGCACCCCAAGATCATGGGTATTATCCGAGAATGCGGAGGAAAGATGCACATGAGTGAGGAGAATTGGGAGGAAGCGCAGAGCGACTTCTTCGAGTCATTCCGAAACTACGATGAGGCGGGCTCAATACAGCGAATCCAGGTGCTCAAGTATCTCGTGTTGACCACGATGCTGATGAAATCGGATATCAACCCATTTTATTCCCAAGAAACCAAGCCGTACAAGAACGACCCCCGCATATCCGCTATGACCGATCTAGTCGACGCATTCCAACGCGACGACATCCACGCATACGAAGCCATCCTTAGCAAAAACCCCGATGTCCTAGCCGATCCCTTCATCGCAGAGAACATTGACGAGGTCAGCCGAAACATGCGGACGAAGGCCGTTCTCAAGCTGATCGCCCCGTACACACGGTTCACCCTCAAGTTCATCTCGAAGCACATCCGGGTCTCGGTACCCGAGGTACAAGACATCCTGAGCTTCCTGATCCTGGACAAAAAGCTCAATGCCAAGATCGACCAGGAAAACGGGATTGTGGAGGTTGAAAGCGCTAGCGACGTGGACCGGCTGCGGGCACTTCAGGAGTGGAACGCATCATTGCGGTCTCTCTGGCAAGCGACCTTGAACGACGGGGATGGATTCAGGGAAGATCCCGCACAGCTGCACGGTATGAGGGGAGGAGGGCCCATGTTCCAACCCGGGTTTGGAGATGAACCGCCTGCAGGATTACGCGCTGGTGGTCGCCGACTGCGGGGTGGACACCGAGGCAGAGGAGGCGGCGGAGGGTCTGGAACGAAGCTGGGCCTGGGAGGCGTCTAGGGAGGGCAATGCATTGTTCCATCCATTCATCCAACTGAACCATTTCTGCGTCATAGCCCATACACTTTAGAGAAACACACACACACACACACAGGGTTACGAAGTAAGGATAAGGAATGAAATCATGACACAACATCGCTCCATCAATCAATCAATCATCACACCCTACAGACCAAACCAAAACAATGATATCATAGAATTACCAATGCGCACGGCATCTAGATAGCCCATCCGTAAGCCACCAAGACACTAAAATCACCAAAAGGGCCGGGGGGTGGGCAGCGGACCATGAAACATGGAACTCTTTCCCATTCCAACTAAACTACAGCAAGTAAGTAGGAGTCAAAGCCCCTAAGCCACACAATTCCCTTTTCGTTCCCCAGGCACATCCACAACAGTAAGAGGTACTTTTGTCACTCACACACACAGACTCACACAGACTGATACACAGATAATATTATAATCCATGCTATCCCAGCAGATATCAGTTCAACAAAAGTAAGTAACACCCGGAAAAAAAGAAGTCTGACCAGATCACACACACACACACACATTAAGTAATACCACATCACACATCCTAGACAATGATAAATCAAGTTAAAACCCCTGTTATCCCGAGGCCGCCACAACCCACCCCCTCCTGAATCGGTTGTCGTGACAGGTCATGTTCAGGTTCAGGTTCACACACATCCCCGTTCGGGTTTTGGTTGGTTTCTTTGCAACCATGTGGGATGGAAAGTACCTTAGTATTTACTGTAGTTGGTAGTTGGCTAAGAGGTAACTATTGCATTGGGGCTGAGTAACTTGCTTGCTTGCTTGCTAGCTATCGATGAGTCTAGACTATTCTACTGATTTTTTACTATCTGTTTTTAAGGTACATAAGTATTTAGTATACTTTGTATCTGTCCTTTGTACCTCCAATGCACGCCAAAGAAGGGTCCTATTCGTCCGGGTTGTAGTTGACTGCATCATACGCATCATATTGTACCTACTACTTATGTAGTAGTATCTATTGTATGCATGTTTGACGCCTCCCTTTTGATGGAATGTACTGTACAGGGTCTTGATACGTATGGGGGTGAGGCGAGGCGAGGCGAGGCGTCTGGGAGTATCCTGGTATTGGGGTAGACTGAGTACTGCAGATACTTGGTTAGTTAGCTGATTGATTGATTGATAGTCTAAACTTTATTATTTTGGGACTTATTTTGGGTTGTTATGCTGGGGAGTGTGCATGGGTGGTGTGATGGTTGTTTGCTGATAAGTGCTGGGGTGGACTTTTGTATGTATGTATGTATGTATGTATGTATGTGTTGAGATGGGATGATATGTATGTATGTATGTGTTGAGATGGGATGATATGTATGTATGTATGTTGTGGAAGACAGAAAGAGAGGTAGTGGATGGATTGGTTGGGATTGCAATGGGGTGAGAGAGAGGCTTGGGGGTACACAAATGTGCGACGTGCTTAGTTTAGCTTGTAGGTGTGTGGATGGTTTGACATGGACAAAAGAAAGAGAAAAAAAGGTCATTGTTGAATTCTAGACAGTGATTATCGGGTGCTTACAGATGGCAGGAAGGACACTAAAGCAGAAGCACAGATAGAACTGCGTAGGCGTTATGCCTGCGCCAGTGTATACCTGGGTAGGCAGTAGGCATGGTGACAGCTGCAAGCAAAGTGCATCACGAAGTAAACACCTCCGTCGGTAGGGAAGTAACTATCCCAATGTCAATGTCTCCAAGACGAAACAAACTCGGCCGAAGAAACCCGCTATCTTGTGTGAAAAGTAACTATGTATGCACTGCACGGAATAGACAAAAAGCAATCAACTACCTACTTACCTACCTTCCTACCAGGTTATACTCTCCATCGTGCAGCTGACAGGCAGTAATGAAAGTTGGCAGTCTGCATACCCCAAATGTATGTACCCTGTCCAGTAGGTAGGCAGGTATGAAGAGAGGCTAGTACTTTTGAACATTGAACATCCCATGGGGCGCAAATGTTGGGTACTCGGAAGTATTAGGTACCTAAGAGATGCAGCAGAAAGTGAGGCAGAGGTAGGTACCTAACTCAAGGTGAAACCGGGGAGAGAGGAGGGGGTAAAGGGTATAGGTACCCAATCGAGATTTCTCGGGGTAAATACAGAGTACTACTTACACAACACAGCATAAGACAGTCATCCAGGTAGAAAACATACTTACTAGTATCTTGTAGGTACAGTGTAAGTGAGTGATGAACCAGGGTCTGGATTGGAGTATGCGGGATTAAAAAGTGGGAACAATAGGGTCTAAGAACTTGATTGTTGAAGTTGCACAAGAGGAAACTGGAGCTTTCTTCCATTTTCTTGTTTACTTATCGATCGGGACGGAAGGGGATGGGGATTGGCGCGGGGAGAGGATTGAATGCCGATCAGGACGGTAGTTGACTAGTAACTATTGTAGTAACTAGTAAGTAGCTGTCGTATTACGTGGTTGGGTCGGTGTGTGAGATGGTGAGTTATGGATGTGTCTAAGTTGTCATGGTCGGGCTGTGTGTTTGCTTCTCTAGTCATCTCATTCGTGGAATCAGTGACGGGAGGGCCTGGCCGGACTTTTTAGACTTGCTTACGGAGCTCTCTCAATGAACCCACAGTAGGTATGTAGAAGAGAGATAGCTATTCTACGGAGATAGCAGCAGTAGCTACCTGACTAGCTACAAAAGTTATCTATATTGCTTATCCGAGTGGGTGTGCGTAACATGTGCACAGTACATCCGTTCGACAGGAAGTTGCAGGGCTTTCCCCTCCGTAACTCTTTGAATGTTGCCTTCAGGGATCTGGGATAAGTGTCAGTTACCGGTGTGTACAGACGTTTTGCCTTGCAATGAACCGAAAATACACCGAGGTAGATGCATGTCTCGAATGATAGGGTCGCTGCCAAAATACTACTAGTATAGTACCCTCTTCCTCTCTGTTTTCAGTGACAGTTGACACTGTCAAGATAGACTGGCCAGATCCCCTGCGATGTGTCAGTCTCCACATCCGCAGCTGCCAGGTGTCTTAATTTTGGTTAATTCATCGAGTTGCTTTTTCGCTGATTTATGCTGCATCCGTCTGTCGCGAAATGCAAGTGCAGGTCTCTCTTCCTACTGTACGGAGTACAGTCATGACAAGTCCTTGGTCACTGACGACGGATACCCTAGCCTAGAATGTTGGTGGGACGAATCGGAACGATATCATCTTGCATGAATGGCGGGAGAGGAGGGAAGGAAGAGAAAAAAGAAAATGAGAAGAAAAAGTGAGGGAGAAAAAAAAAAAGAAAGCAAGAGAATGAAACAAAGAAAGGTGAGATTCAGGTACTCTGTGTTCCGTGATGTGTCAAGTGCCGTGACAAAGTACGTACAGCGGACGAGGCAACCAGGCTTTGCGGACACCTGGTGGGCTACAAGGGACCCCATACTTACTGTAGCGACTCTATCGGCAGTGAGGCACCTGACAAAGAACCACCCACCACCCCATAGCTAGTAGCATATGTACCATGTACCATGTATCCCCGGCCAGGGAGCGCGCACAGAGACCGACCTTTGTTAGAGGGAGGGGAAAGGAAGGCGGAATAAGCAAGCGATCAGGGATCCTAAGAGCGGACGGACGATGGATGGATTTCGGAGCGGCTTCCGAGGTAGCATATGCAAGCCCCCTCTTAGTTGGATCGAGAATCTTCCTGGAGCCAGAGTCATTGGTAGCCTGCCATCTCGGGCCATTTGATGCGGTTTTGGCAACCTTCTCCCCATGCGGTAGGAGACGCGGTTGATTACGATCCTTGTCCATGGCCATGGTCACAACCCGGAAGGCTGACTGGATGGCTAGTCACACCGACAGGATGGCACCAGAGGTCTTACCATCTTACGGTGGTCTGATCCCCTTGTCAGATACCAGTGCAATCAACGTTGATGCTCGCCCGTTGCTTCTTGCGGTCCCGGTGTGATGGTTGGAGGCCTTACTGTACAAAATCCGTGCGGCGGTCAACTGTGATGGGATTGGGGAGGATGGGATGTAATTTGACCGTGTGATTGATTGATTGCCCGGGGGTTCAGAGAGAGAGTGAGAGGTCAGTGGTTTAATAGATAGTTTAGTATGCTCATCGGTACAGACCGACAGACACGTTGTGGTCGGAAGTAAGCAGCGATACGTGAAGGAGAAAATAAGACTTTGCCAACACCTCCACCATCACCATCATCATCATCATCATCAACCATCCACACATGTGAGAGATATGTCTCAAGCTGGGGCCGTGGAAGTTTAGTGCTTAGAAAGCAACGAGACAGCGAAGCCACGGAGAAAAAGGCAGAGAGTTAGACCGGGAGAATGAGGGAAATGAGGGAGAAAAACAGCAGAGCGTGCGCGCACTGGGAGCAGTGAGGCACCGGCGGAATCCCGTGTCTTGTCGCAGATTCCGACTCCGCACTTGGAGCTTCTGCATGCAAGACGGCTGGTAGCAGTGCGCGGATGGACGATAAATTAAATTGAAATAAACTCGACAAGCTATCTACCCGGGAATGACTTGTCCCTTTTACACCGTCCAGCGGTGTTGGATCGAGCAGGGCGCGTGCGTGGAGACAAGGGCAGGTTCGTCGGCCGTAAATGCAGCAGCAAGGCGCTAAGACAGACTGGTGTTGAGACCGGCTCCCACTCGCCCGAGTTAGCTCTGGGATAGTCGACTAGGCAGGAGTCAATCTCGGATTCCAAGCAACCACAATGGTTTTGCTCTAATCAGATTACTAGTCGTCCTGCTAGACCGGCACTGCTGCAGCTACTCCGCCAGTCAAGCGGATTTGTCGGCTATCCTGCCAGGACATGTGGCCGTTCTCGAGTGCATGGAGGATCAAGAGGCGCAGGTAGCTAGGGGTCATCGGTTGTATCGAGATCGGGCGTTCGTTTCTGCTCCCCCAGCGGCAGATGAGTGAGTTGTGTGGAAGAGCGTGTATTAAGTATGAGTTTGAGTGGATGTGTGGCCGATGGTTGGCCTCTGGGGCTGTTCTCTGACATGTTACGATGGTTGTCTCACGCCTTCACTTAGGTTATTTAATTTAGTTACTATTCGTCGTTGTCTTTTCCTTAATCAGCATCGTCATCATCACTATCATCGATCGCTCATCGGCAATATGCTAGGATGGAGAATACGACACCCCTCAAAGTTATGTGTTTTGTCTTTTTTACATCTCGGGTTGATTGTTAAACCCCCATTTCCGACCCTACAAGGTCTGCGATCTGAGCACCCGGACTGATCCCGTGGGTTGGAACCCTCACAGCCAATCAGAGTTTGTTCACCACCTTGCCTCGTGATGGTATCTACAGCATCGTAAATTCGTGAAGAAGTAAGTAGTAAGGGGAATGATATACTTCCTATGTACTCCATATGTAGATGTTTCCTTTGTTGTAACTATAAAACAGCTTGGCTTATCAATCAGGATGCCCTAGCTGTCCCTGTTCACCCTTTCCCTTCCAGGGGTGAATCTCGCCCTGTTTTTCCCTTAAATTCTCCTTTATTCTATTTTTACGCCGATGAGGATCATCCCGTAGTATGTCCGGAGTAGATGAGAACCAGCGTAAGGTGGGTAAAGCAGGACTTCTTCAGCCAGCTGGATGGACAGACTGATGACGGGTGGGTGGATGGATCCAATCCCATCCCGTCGAACATGAATCAGGAGCAAGTACCACCTCCGACTGTTGCACTGGATGGGGATGACCGCCAGACGATGATCATCCCCATTGGGTCCCCGTCCAACCGGCTCTTCCGCTGCACTTTTCAACTTGTGCTGCTGTAAATCAAGCGATGGTGAGGTTTTGTTTTACCCTACCGAAGGGGGGCGGTAGTTATACCCACCACACAAATAGTAGATGAGAATTAACAAATTATCATCATGATAATTCTTCTAATTTCCTTTTATTCCTTCTGAGGTGTTGTTGTCGAATGATGTTGTGATCCTAATTTGTTTCTGTTCCTGAGTGAGTGCTCATTATTGGCGGTTCGCTGGCATTGTATTATTGTGTCTAGTTATGCCTAGTTTGGTTTTCACTAGTACAAAGGGAGATGGGAAAAGAGTAGTCAGTCAGTCCTCATTTGTAGACGTTGATGTTTCCTGCATGGGCCGGTTTTTAAAGCAGAAAAACAAAACAAAACAATTCCGCCCTGAAGTTACAAAGCAAGTCCAGCCGATCATTGATATCTAAACGCTGTGAGAATGATTGACCAGCCATGTCTTGCATCTTTTGGTGGTTCGGTTGCTGCTGGCCTGAATATCAACCATTCAAAACGTCATGGTTTAGTATTTCTTCCGGCAGTTTTGTCCACCCGTGCATTTCAGGATTCCAATTTCATCCACCGGTCCCGGAGGGTTCGTTCAACACTATTACAATAGTTTCGCTGCCTGCCTTGTTCTAGGGGTAGATAGTAAATGTAGTGGTGATGGGTGGAAATGATTGTGCATGAGTGCGTGAAATAGTGATTAAGAAAAAGAAAAGCCAAAAAATAATCTATTTATTTTTGTATGAGTGAAAAAAATAAAAGAAGGGAATAAAATGACCCCGGTTGATTGAGACCGACTTGAATAATTTTGGACTATCCATGCTGGTGGAAACACACACTTTTCAAGCAAAGCACGCATTCATCCGCTAGCGAGTCGTGACAAGCAGACCGACTTGACAGAACTTGTATTTGGACTGTATGTATGAACGACCCCGTCGGGAACCCCGCTCCCGGCCTTAGTTGTTGAAGGTCAGTCAGTCAGTCAGCCTTTCTTTTCCTCGATTTATTATTATTATTATTATTTTTTTTTTTCTTTCTTCCTCTCTCTCCATTCTCCACGAACGCATCCATCCTTCCATTGCTGGCTGCTTAATTTTCTTCCTTATTAAACCCTGGGTCACCTCGGGGTTTTAAAAATATTCGGGATATGGCATTGATTTGACTCGTCTTGTCTTGACACTCTATTTACTTGCCTTTTCCCTCCACCCCCTTCATCTATATCTATCTATCTTATTATCCGTCTACTTATCTACTACGGAGTACTCTTACATTACTTACTACTACCACTATTAGGTTCTTCCACATCCCTGCTCGTTCTACCAGTCTTTTTTCTCTTCCCCCTACCTTAAATCTGTTCATCCCATCATCCATCATCCATCATCCTGTCTTCCACTTTCCCGTCAAGTGATTAGCCGGTCGCCCTGACCATCCAGAATCCATCGTTCAGCCTTTACCTCCTCTTTACCCTCCCCCTCCCACACTTTACAGTTTCCCGCCCACACTTTTGCCCGCCCACTTTCCTCACCCTTTTGCCCCTCAAAACCAAAAAAGAAAAGAACCACTTTATCTTACTGGATCTCCCGCCATTCCGAAGAGCGACGGACTGTCTATCATCATTACCGCTTTGGGGCATAGTATAACACCCTTTGATTTCCATCGGCCACTTTCACCGACGCATCCCAAGCATTGATGCCACGGCACATGTGACACACCTGGGACGTATGCACTTCAGCCGTAGACAGAGAGAGAGAGCTTTGTTGCAGATTTCCAGTAGGTCCAACCACGCTTTTCCTTTCAATGGGCTTTGACATCACCTTGCCGGTTTGTGTTATCTTACCTTCGCATCCCGCTTCTCTCTGTACTATTCTTTCCCCATTCCTTCGCTTTTGCCCTTTCTTTCCCCCCCAACACTTTCTCCCCTCTTTATCCCTTTATTTCTCGTTCTTGCGGCTTTCTCTGCATTTACTATTATTGTCTTGGCTCTCCCCGACCATCAAACACCCTCCTCGATCTTAAATCACAGTGGCGTTCCGGGTACCTTGCAATTCTTCCAAGGGCACCCAATCGACGATGGAGTAGCATCCGTTACATCTCCCAGCGCATCAGATGCAAGGCGTGTGAGTGCTGGCATGTCAACCGTGTGGGAATCCTTTTCCACCTCATTCTGTCTGGCGTTCGCCGGCCTGGAAAGTTTTTTTTGTAAAGGAGGGTTGATTGAGTGCAGAGGCCGTGGCCTTGCGCGCCACTCAGCATCGCCAGATGCTCTTTCATCTCTGACTCTCGCATCCCTCGAGCCAAGTGCATGATTGCGTACTCTATGTCTCTGCCTGCTCAGCTGCCTCTGACCTCCCCTTTCCCCGGCTATGTCAGCCCCTCCCTCTTCTCATCTTGATCCTCTATTCCTCCATCCTGTTTTGGTACCTCGGTCCCGCGAGTCTTGACCCTTCTTGCCTTTCCAATGCCAGCGTCGGATCCCGTGGACGTGATTCTGCGGCTGGCAACCGGCTTTGGTTCATCATCTCTGCTAGCACCTTCCCACATCCTTGGTAGATCAGTTGCTTCTCTCTTCACCATTGGCTGAGTCTGTTCGTCTCTTCACGGATGAATTCCCGGGAAACAGCCCTCTTGCATCTTCTGCACGGCTACCGGCTTGACGAGATATGCTAAGGACGTCACATAGTAGGTCGGTTACATCAGTGAATAGACCCAGCCGGCTGGTCATCACTGTGTCACACAAGAACTTTGTTTCAAACGATGCTCATTTGTCTCGTGCGTATTACGTTCTTTCATCATGTTCTTCGCTAAGTGAATAAAGGTCCTGTCTCCCTGCTAAGGAAAGGCTTCTGGCGACTTCTCCATCCCTAAGCGACTGCTCCTGAAGCCGTATATCCAACGTCTTTCTATGCGATGTCCCTGTCGGATCTTCCCTGGAACCATTTCGACCCTATCAACCACTTTCCCACTGGACAGGATTCAACTTCCGGCTTCTATCCTCAACACCCTCATTCATCCGCATTCTTCGATCACGGATACTCGCAACTTTCAAACGCCCTTTATCATCCAGGCAGCAACTTTTTCTTCAACATGAATACCCTTTCGACCGCCGAAATGGAGAGGTTCCAGAAACTCTCCAACGAGTTTCAACCCGACGTTCAGGTAAGGGATTTGATGATCCATGTCCAGACTATCCGGCTCACACGTGCACTTGAAGGGCCCTCCGGTGTCTACGAAACAGTCCAGTAGCGTCATTGCTATGGAGTATGCAAATGCGGATCCGACATTTGCCACCAAGACCAATGTACGCTCCTTCACTTGTCACTCCTCCAATCCCCCAAAGTGGGAGCCGAAGTGACTCACATTGGTTTCAATAGGCTCTTGCTATAACGCACCCTCTGACACGAACCATGAAAGGAGACGGAAACTGTGGTTGGAGAGGTAATCACTTTCGTATCACTGGCGATGGAGGTTTGCTTACACTGTGTAGCCGTTGCATTCGGATACTTTGAAAACTTGCTCAACCTTCAGAATCTAATGCAGGTAGACCATGAATTGGCGCGGATCAGGGCGCTGAACGCACTCCTCAATCAAACGGTTCAAGAAGAACACCTATACGAGATTTTCGTGGACGCAACAGAGGATGTGTTCAACCAGATATATGATGCCATCCGAAACGGCATCCGGGACGAGACCTTCCTCGTCAATGCATTCAATCAAGAGTACAGTTCAAGTGCTATCATCACTCACTTCAGGGTCAGTGATCCTTGCAGCGCTGCTATTTTCTTCCCGCATATCGACCGGGGATCTGGGGTTTTGCGACTGACATGTTAATACGCAATGTACTACAGCTGCTAACAAGCGCCTGGATGAAACGTCACCCGTCTCGATACGAAGCCTTCCTCTCCATGCCCCTCGAGCAATATTGCGCGACACGAATAGACGTGGTCAGAACGGAAATCGACGAGATCGGCCTCCAAGCCTTAGTGGATGGGGTAATCGAGGGGTCCGGATTCGCCGTGGAGATCATGTATCTCGACCGCAGCGAAGGCGAAACGGTCACTCCTCATCTCCTGACCCCGCCCCCGGCTACCGGCGGGACTATATGCCTACTTTACCGCCCGTGAGTCTCATTTGCGATGCGCAGGCTCTATTTAATTGGACGCCAAGTATCACGCTAACATAGCCGTAGGGGCCACTATGACCTACTCTACCCAGCCGAACCTACTGTGAATATGGAACCCGTGGTTAATTACCAATACGCAATGACTTCTGACTATGCCCCCTGGGATCAAGGTGCCCTCGCGTTCGATGTGAACTCCAGTTTGATGACCATCCCCAATCTGATGATGGACCCTTCCTTTGGCATGGACCCCTCTCCGATGCCGGCGGCTCCTCCCAGTCCGTACCGGGTTTCTCCCCCTCAGGAAGTGTACCAGCCGCCCCCCATGCATGCTTCACCTCCCATGTCTATCGCATCACCCCCGCCAGCGCCACCGCGGATGTCGGCACCACCACCGCCCATGAGCTCCCTGCCGCCCCGGTCGTCTGACGGGCCGCAAATCCGGTTGAACCCATTAGTGATGAAACCCAACCTCAGCCACTCTCTTCCGGTCACCACGCCGTTCAAGAAGTGAGTATCTCCGTCCCACCGCTCATGACGCCCTTCTGCACTTGCCGGTGCCACATTCTAACCCTTGCAGTAGTTCACCATACAATCAAGCCCATTTCCAGAACCAGGATTTCGAACCCATCCACTGGGAGCCTAGCGATTCCCGCAAATGAAAGGTCATTGCCTTGTTCCTTTTCGGCCATATGAGCAGTAGTTTGAACCGGAGTTTCCCCACGATCTTTAGCGCCTGAATAATTTGTGTTACGTTCTTTCCATCGAATATGCAAGTCTGGTTTCCAGCAGGGTGAACGGAGGCTATTGTCCTAGTGCTTGGCTTGGCGAAGAAGCGTATTTCTAATCAGTATGGCATTGGCAAAGGTTGTGGCTTATTTGCTTCGTATTCCTAATTGCTCCAACAGCCTGTCTGTTCCTTTTTAAGCGTCTATGCTATGCGTCGCATTCGGTGGGCGTGGGTTAGCTTCAGCTCTAGGTGCAAATTGTGAGACTTGGGATAAAACCACTCATTTACCCTTTTAGAATCCGACTGCTGGATGGCGTGCATCAATGCCGTGGGCAAACGAAGCATGGCATAATCGAGCTGCAGCACAGTCACGCAGTCAGAAAGTGCTTAAGCGGGTTCGCAAGGCTTTCCGCATGCCACCCGGGGTTAACCAGCCCAGACCAAGGATGACAAGTCCTACATCTTGCTTGTAAACCTCCTCGGTCCTTGTCTGCAGGAATGTCTTGCATGGTGGCTGCTTGGAAGCCTATCAAAGGCTTGGCCGATAAGCATCCCACATGCGACTGTTGCATCATATACCCGGCGTGCATGCAGTGACAAAACCCCTCATTTCATGTCAACTATTAGAGACACAACTGCCATCACAACAGACTGTACTACCTCTTAGACAAGTGATCGAGTCATCCTTCCGCTTCACGTAGCATCGGGGAGTTATGACGCAACGTGCTGTGATCCGAGGGTGTGAGGGGAAGAAGGCGCTGAATGCCGTACATAATTTGTGAATTAGTGTCCGCGTTAATATCTGGTAGTGGAATATTTCTCTGTCTCGGCTGCTTACCCGGTAGATCCATACTAGACCCTTGCGATGTCTGTGTACCTGGATCCTAAGGCTGCACTGTGCTGATTCGGGCAAAATATAATTCATTTTGAAACCAGTCCATAATCATCACATGATGGCCAAGCGTCATCTGATTCTTCTCTATCGGACAGGAGTCATCATCTTCTCGTCCACAACCCACACCGGCCGATCTGTTGATGTTTTCGGTCAACAACTCTAATCATGGCCCGTTTTTTTTTTGTTTCTTCTTCCCCCACGGTGGGGTCCACGGAGCAACTCCGCTTTCCTCTCAACCTTTCCCCGCATCCATCCATTCCGTAGTATCACTCCTGGATGCTGTTGTCATGACAGGGGCGAGTCACTACGTACCTATTGCGGAGTACTCTTCTCCGACTCCGTTGATACTCTAGTTGACACCCCTCGTGGGTTGTTTCTTAACCTCTTGCTGTCTTCGTCAGAACGTGGGATTCTGTGTCCATTGGACGGAGTACACCTCTCCGTTCTAGCTTGATGCTCCTTCGCGGGGAAGAGATAAACATAGGTGAGTTGGGTATACTTATAAAGAGATACTGCCCTGGGATATCGGCCGTATGTTGATTGTGCGTCAAGAATCTAACGCTGAAGAAGTATGCAGTCATGGCTCCCAACACTCAGAATCCCAATGGCGGTTTCGCCCTGATATACCAAAACCCTTACCTGCTGGGCGTTGCATCGGTGAGTTTTCATACAAATCTGAAGAATCAGATAATATTCTGACCTGATTCATAATCTATTAGTTCTCCACTCTGGGTGGGCTGCTCTTTGGTTATGATCAGGGCGTGGTCTCTGGTGTGATAACTATGCAATCATTCGGCGCTCGGTTTCCGCGAGTGTACATGGACAGCAGCTTTAAGGGGTGGTTTGTGTCGACCTTATTGATTTGTATGTCCCGCCATGCCAATCATTCCACATATATGAACGTACGGTCACTTACTGTCTCTATAGCTGCCTGGTTTGGATCCCTCATCAACGGCCCTATCGTGGACCGACTAGGCCGTAAACTATCCATCAACCTCGCTGTCGTTGTATTCGTCATTGGGTCAGCCATCCAATGCGGTGCCGTGAATATACCAATGCTCTTTGCTGGTATGCATCCTTCCTTTGACATTTCCAAGCCCTTTCCCCAGACACAGACGAAAACTCACACACCACAGGACGTGCAATTGCAGGCGTAGCCGTTGGCCAACTAACCATGGTAGTACCTCTGTATATCTCCGAGGTACATATACACCCTCCTCCTCACATACAACAAAATAACCACAGTACTCATCCTCGACCCAACAGGTCTCCATCCCCGAAATACGCGGCGGTCTCGTCGTTCTCCAACAACGTGAGTATCCCCCAATTCCACCACACAACCACACCCACTAACTCACTCAGTCTCCGTCACCATCGGCATCCTAATAAGCTACTGGATCGACTACGGCACCAACTACATCGGCGGCACCCGCTGCGCCCCCAACATTCCCTACACAGGCGGCACCGCCTCCTCGCCCTCATTCGACCCCTACACAGACATCCCCCGGAACGGCATCTGCACTGGCCAATCCGAAGCATCCTGGCGTCTCCCACTCGCCATCCAGATCATCCCAGCCCTAACACTCGGTCTAGGGATGCTCTTCTTCCCCGACTCCCCCAGATGGCTACTAATGAAGGAGCGAGACGACGAAGCTCTCCAGGCATTATCCAGACTGCGTCGCCAATCAACCAGTAACCCAGGCTTGACGAATGAATACCTCGAGATCAAAGCATCCATTATGCTGGAGAATAGCTTCGCTAGAGAACGGTACCCTGATTTATCGGGGTTCAGGTTGCATGCTGCGCAGGTTCGTTCCCCTCCCCTCTTCCCCAACTTAAACCCACCATTCAACGTTGAGCATCATTCTAACTCGTCAATGATGATGGTGATGACGATAGTATATTTCACTCGTAACTACATGGGCACGATTCAAGCGTCTAGCAATCGGATGCTGTATTATGTTCTTTCAGCAGTTTATGGGCTGTAATGGTACGTCACTTACCTCCTGTTATAGATGGCACGTGCTAACCAATCCATAGCTATAATCTACTACGCCCCAACGATCTTCGCTCAGCTGGGCCTCGATGGAAATACCGTATGCTTAGAAATTTTCTCTTTACCTCAAAACCAGCTGATGGACTAACACGATCAAACAGAGCTCCCTTCTCGCTACCGGCGTTTATGGGATCATCAACTGCCTTAGCACCCTGCCCGCTCTTATCCTAATCGACAAAGTCGGTCGGAGAGTGTTGCTCATGTCTGGTGCCACGGGGACTTGCATCTCGCTGGTGATCGTGGGTGCGATTATCGGGGCCTATGGGTCGGATCTCATCCATCACCGATCTGCCGGGTGGGCGGGGATTGCGTTCATCTATATCTATGATATTAACTTCTCGTACTCTTTTGGTTTGTTTGTCTACTTCGTTATATGGAAAGTGGATCGTGCTAATGTGCATATAGCTCCTATCGGATGGGTCCTGCCATCGGAAATCTTCAATCTATCCATACGCTCCAAAGCTATTTCTATCACAACATCCGCTACTTGGATGTGCAACTTGTATGTCCAGAAAGTCCTTTGTTTTTGCCATTTTTTTTTTTTTTGATCCATGATTGCCATGACTCATTGCTGACATTTGCACCTAGTATCATCGGCCTCGTCACCCCTGATATGCTCGACTCAATCACCTGGGGTACCTATATCTTTTTCGCAGCGTTCTGCCTTCTGGCATTCGGGTTCACTTTCTTCTTCATCCCAGAGACCCGTGGGAAGGTATGTTTGGTTTGCCCTTAGTTATCCACTTGACATCGCTAACATGACGACTTGTTTAGACGCTGGAAGATATGGATCTCATCTTTGGTGACACGGCTGCCCATGAAGAGAAACAGCGTATTGTCGGAATCGAGGCTCAACTGCGCGGCCTCGATAGTCACACGTTCGACCCGGAATTCGTGAAGCCCTTCGCACAGGAGGAAGAGGACGTTGCGTGAGGGTCCATAACTTTCATAATCTCTTGCAATTTTCCGCCTTCATATCAAATAGCGGGTTCCGCTTGGTGTGACAGTTCAAGAAGCGGGTCCTTCGAGGAATGGAGTTCCGGCTGTGACATCCTCTTTTGTTCTGTAGGCTCCGCTACATTCACGTATGACCCTTGACCGGCTCTAGCCCCGAAATCATCTCCTCTCTGCTTTGACAGATGCTCAGACAAACTCATTCTGTGGAGGGAAGTTTACCCATTCCGAGAAGTCCATGCCAGCAAGATTCAACTCCTGGTCTACGTCCGGAAACATACTACCAAAGGTTGGGTCGTTGAAGAGCTGATCGGAAAAGGGCATCAATATGGGTGCTGTCTGTCCTGCAGTCTTATCGGTGGCGGCACTCGTGTATGCAGGCGAACAGAGTCGATTTACAACTTCCAGACAACGAGTCGCAAGGCGGTTGTTGCTGAGAGAAGGGTGTACCAGTAGCTTCTTCGTGGACTCGATCTCCTGGAGCCAGCTAGGGGCTTCCGTACTTGTCGGGTCGGTCATAAGCAAGATAATCGGGATGACACCAGCTTGAAACAGGAAGTATCTGTGGAAAATGTCAGCGATGTCAAGGAAAAGGGTCATGGGAGACATACAGCATGTACCATGCACCAATCCTTGTGCAGACGTGGTTGTTTACAAAATCTGCGATCGATGATATTGTCAAACGCGCATTCCGAAGACAAAGCCTCCTGCAATCTGCCTCAAGCGGATCCTCAGGTTCGGGGGCCGAGTTTGGTGTCCATCGACGCGATGCCCAACGAAGAAGAATGGGACGGTATAGAAGAATCCTCAAGTTCCAGTCGCGCCACATCAACCGATTGCGGACAAGAGCGAATGCATCCGATATCGGTGTGGGTGGCTGCTTGAAGTAATCAGGAAGACCATTGTACCATTCTTCCATTGGTCTTTGGAGACCGAGCGTTTCCTCTGGCGTTAAACTCGGGCCTGAGATGAGACGCTGATACACACTGTTGGTAAGGAGATGGAACCTAGCCTGGGCTATTAAACCGGAATAGAGGGTTGGTTCGTTGACCTCATGGGGTAGAGCGGTAGTGAGAGGCGTAAGAGCCTGCAGGATGAATCAGACATTGTACGCCGGATTAGAGGATTATAGTCACAATGCCGAGTCTTACCTCATCGTGGATATTGAGTACATGTTTTGCGTCCATGACATCGTCTTCAGGCAAGAGAATAGGCCGGCCGAAAGTCTTGGCCGCGCCGCTATCAAAGATGTATACTCCCCACCACAGGCGCCGCCTAACCTCGCGCTGGAGAAGGCTGATCTTCCAACCAGGAAATTCTTTATGGAGGCCCAAGCTCATGGCCATCCTAACCGCCAAACCGAGAAAGTTCCATCCGGTATTAGGCTTGTTCCGTTTCTGGGCATAGTTGCTCAGAAGCAGTAATGCCTGAACAAGAGTGAGGTTTCCGGTTTCAAACACAGACACCTGCTGTAAATGACCTCTCGCCTCTTGATAGAATGTAATATCCAGATCAGAATTGTCGTCACCGATACTCCACGCCCCCAAAGCCAAGATCGTGTTCAGTAGGATCTGCCATGCCTGACCATGTGGCCGCGGAACTTGCTCGTAGAACTGCGCTCGGAAAGTACCCTCGTGGACGAAAGGGTAGCTGGTATGGTAGTTAAGGAAGAATGCATCCATGAAAGCTTGTTCGACGAGACCGGAGGGCGCGGTGCTGAGTAGTTGAGCCTTCAAAGGCACTCTTTCCATGCCATAACTTGACTTTGAGGATCTGGCAGGGATGTTAAGGTCAAAGCCATGCTTCAACAACGCTCGAAGCGGCACAACGCTGGAAGATGCGCCTAATACAGACAGTTAGCACTTGCAATCCCGAGTTGCAAAGCAGTCGGACACACTGACCGAAGTAGCCAGCTCCTTCTGGCTTAATGGACAGGGCTGCCATGCCATCTGTTAGATCGCCAACTGTAATTTTGTTCTCCGCCCAGTCGAATCCATCAGCCTGCTGCGGCAGCGCTTCCGGGGCTGGTTCGGCCCGATCCGGCTCAGCTTTTGCAGGGGTAGAATGCCGGGACGAAGACTTCGAGGAGCCAGGTTTTGGTGGACCCTCCTGATCGTGCAAAAGAGAGCGGACGGTGGCATCCAGATCGCCGCCTGGGAACAGCCTTGATAGCGCTGTTTCGAAGGCCTGTAAGCGCTCCTCTACGTAGGTCAGGTGTCTGAGCAAGGATTAGCAAGTGATTGGTTCCATGGGTCATGGGAGTTTGACGACAGTACTGAAACCCCAAGGCAATGGAAGGACTTACTGTCGTGTTAGAGGGCTTCTGGTGACCTTAGGACTGTAATTGCATTCTTTGTTCAGCTGCTTGCATTGTGCGCATGTCGGCTTCTCTTTCGAGCACTGAGATGAAGATTAGCTAGATGCCGAGTGACTGCGTAGGAGCGACTTACCTTGGACTTCCGGAGCCGACATTCATCACACTGTATGTCCACTATTAGCTTGATAGGTTGCCTCTTCCCCTTTACATAGAATACTCACAGCATAGGAGTGAGAATCACGTGTACTGGCCATAATTAACGTCGAAAGTCAATTTTGATGTACCCCAAGTCTCTTGCGCGCTGATATGTACACCAAACTGATGTCATCTGGGGAGACTTTGTTAGCCATCAACTACAGCGCTAATCGTGATCGATGTTGATCTGCGCCGCAAGATGAAGTCGAGCGAAGTATGAAGAACATGAGTACTTTTGTAGACACATTTTTTACAGGCTGGAATATAACCACAGGAATGTTCGAGTGTCACAGATTCCTGCTTAAATGATGGATGGATACATGTACAGGAGGTCTGGGGAACAGGCACTTTAAACGTCTCCAAGACCGGTGGGGTATGGATAAAAAGCGAGGTGCCTGAGTGTAACACGCTTGGAGCGAGGGACATGGATGGGGCGGCCAACTTACGATCGGCGCGGAAGCAGTTAAGGGCCCAACGCTTTTGGAGCCGGACGATAAGTTATCGGGTACGGCTCCAACGCTCTAAACTTATAAGTTGGCGAGAAGAGGACGAGACCTGGATGGATGCTCGACCAGCGAGTGCGACGATGATTGCTGATGGACTTTTGGCTCGTGTGGGGGAGCCAGTCAGGTGACGGGCCGAAAATTTCCTCCTGGAATTTCAGGAATCAACGGCGTCGCTTCAGGCAGGAAGGACCATGCCCCTCACGGCTCTGAGACGATAATCACAATCATACGGCATGCCTTAGCCTGAGAAGAGCGTAGAGTATCCAGCAGTTCGCATAAAATGCCTCAGTGATCGGCACGGGTGACGTGAAGCTAATGTAGTGAACGGCCTGGAATCGCGAGAGCGTCCGAGATATCTCCTGATGCGGATGATTATGCCGCAATGAAATCGTATTCCATGAATTTATCGCGCAGCCTTTGGGATACTTCCACATAAGGGTTTGCCAGTTGCTTTTGGTGCCAGTAGTACTATTATCTCCTACTCAGGGAGCCATTAGCAGCATGCAGAGGGCGCGTCGTTAGCATGTTAGCCTAAGAGCTACCACTTAGAATATATTTAGTTCGGGTACAGCACTGAGCTCGGGGACGTGATCAGCGCTTCATTACTGATACACGCATTACTGATACACGATCCAACCACTTGAATCAGCTCAGACTAGGCGAAGAGGACGTCCAGAATGATGAAAGACATGATAACTAGTAGATGAGATAAGAAGTCATCCCCGAGATGAGCGGGGGGAAAGACCACGACCATCTTCAACTAGTAAGTAGTAAACAGGCAGGCCCCCCATCGCACCTGCCGTATTGATCGATCCAGTGACTTTGTCTTGGCAACGTCGCCGACCAATCGCAAAAATCCGCAGGAATTCCAATTTCATACAACGTCATTTACAAAAAGTGCAGACAAACAATACAGCTATCTTTTCTACAGTTTCAATCTCGAATTCATCTACATCAGCTGGGAGATATCATCAGTGCTATCCGACCGTACGATTCCGAAGACGGAGCAGTTGCGACGCTCTCAGTGCGATGCCTAGCCAACCGCCCCTCCCACCCCTCCTCACTCCCTACATATCGTCTCTGCCGCCATCGTCCCTCACAGTCCTATCTTCAGTCCTTGGCGCAACAGGGAATTGGCTAGTCCTACGATTTCTATATGCAGCCTTGAATTCGTCTTCGACGTCAGACGCTGTTGCAGGCCTCAGCGACACCAACAATGGGAGGAAGAGGAAGGTTGTGCTCGTGAGTTTTCTGCGGGGTTGGGAATTTTGGAGGTCCGAGGCCAAACGATTGGTATGCTTGTGAACCCTTGTTACGTCGCTCTATTTGGTCATATGTTATGAACTATTCGGGTACTGCGAGGCTTGAATACTTCCTTTTCTCTCTACAATAGCTCTATATACTGTCTATTGATCCTAATAATTGGCGACAACGCTGACCCGACCAGGGCCTCGATCTTGCCCGCCTCACAGACAAACGTCAATTCGCTTTTGTTGACGGACTCTCCGAACTTTTCGTCCCCCCCTCCGCTACTTCGACTCAGACACCAACAATTCAACCCTCATTGCGAGGAACAGTGCCTCCCCGGACAGTTCTCCCCCTCAGGTCGCAACCCGGACCTGTTCCCGCGCGAGGACCGCAACCCGCTGCTCGGCCAGTCGCTGCCCCTCCGAACCCGCCAACATCGAGAGAAGTCGGGCCAGTCAAGCGGCTTCACCTATCGGGAAATGGAAATGCGGCTTTGGATGTGCTCGAGAAAGACATTGCGGCGGTGATCAATGATCTGAAAACATCAACATCCGGAGATGAACAGGAAGAGCTCGAGGTTTTATTGATTATCGATCAGCCAGATCTGCTACTCGCCGCTACGGGTCCGAGCAGGGGCATAGGCGCTACTGAGATGGGAGATTGGGTGATGGGTCTACAACAGGTATGCTACGAGTCTCCACTGGCAGTACGGCTTTGAGATTGGGAACCATATCCGCTGACTAGGACCCAATTATATAGTGCGCTCACGCAACGATCATGACGGCGTCTTCTGACTCTCCGTTGATCCACAACGCTTCCGCATCTGCGCACCAAGGAGCAACTCCGCTGGAGACTGAGCATGCCGCTTTTGCTATCGGATCGGCTCATCGGTCGCACATGGTTATGCAGCTCCGAAACCTTGAAACGGGTGCCGCAAGGGATGTCAGCGGTGTGCTCAGGGTCAGCAAAGGTGGCGCGTGGGGGCAAAATGACAGCACCGAGGCTAATAGTAGTTGGGAAGAGAAGGAAGTCCTATATTTCGTGCAAAGGGACGGTGGTGTTAGCGTCTTTGGGCGAGGAGAATAGATACTAAGGTTGTTGCATCATTCCATGTCATGTCCAGGCGTTCAGGCGTGCATGCGGAAAAGAATAGACCGGGGGTAAATAGAAATCTTGTCGCAAATGGATCGAAAAAGCACACCTGTTGTCGCAGAAACCACATCGTACGCACTCGAGGGGTAGGTTGCATTCAAGTAGACAGATCACATTGGACGAACAATCTCAAACTGCATCTGCCACGACATGGGATATCTGCCAGCCCTAAACAAGACAAGGAAATTCATGCATAAACTTTCCCATTTCATTTCTTTCTTTGAAACAGAAAAAGAGAAAACATCCCCAGAGAGCAAGAGAGAAGACGAGCGTCTTTTGGTTCTTCTTTCACATTGTCGTCAATATATGCCATTTTTGTGTTTCTCTAGAATAAAGAAATGCTATGACGGCAAATATGAAAAAAAAAAGACCGTCCCAACACCAACTCCACGGGGAATAGCGTCTTTTTTTTATTGCCCCTAGCATTGCGACCCGGTTCACGTCGTCAAATGCCAACCGGCCCTGTCATACCAGCCCAGCCTCCAGCCTCCGAGAACGAAACGAAAACGCGACAGTCATCGAAAGGGGGGAATCTAGTGGTTCTCGGGACCACGAGCGCCCTTGGGGGTGCCGACCTGGAAGCCGTTGTGGAAGCGGCGGTGGACCTCCTTGAGGTGACGCATTCTGCCGGAGCCGGTGGTCTTTCTGCGCTTGGCCTTCTCGCTCCAGTTGACTGTATAAAACGAACTTCGTAAGCCAATCTGTTCATCCAAACACTTTTTTCATACAATCCGTATCCAAGGTTTCTCAAGGAACCAGCGGTTGTTCTTCGATGGTGGGGTTTTGGGGAAAAGGATTCGTACACTTGCGAGTCTTAGCGGCAGGGTAACCGCAGTTGGCACAAGTCGACTTCTGGACGTGGAAGGAGCGGCGGCCTGAATTCAATCCGAAGAGTATTAGCCCATCTGGTCGTTTCCCCATAATCTCATATATATGTTCCTCCCGGCAGTCATTTATTATTCCGTTCCTTCTCTCATCCATTCCGTTGGTTGTGTAGAGATCTCCCGTATAACAATTCCCGCCCGGAGGGACATATATAAATTTTCGGAGTAGTGTAAATACTGACCACAACGCCGGCAAAGAGTGTGAGTCTTGTTGTGGCGCTTTCCGAAGCTGGAGGTACCCTTCGCTGTAAACAGAATCGGTATGTCAGTCTGGATGTTGTTCTCGTCGATAGATCGGACTGGGCGGTGGTATATCGCGTTGGCACGTACTCATCTTGAATTATGTGGAACTATATGGCACAATTTGTTAGCGACGGAAAATCGAGATTAGAAAAATTTCCCGGCCTGGGGAAAAATGACAATAATCCCACGTGAGGGCGCAAAATGGACCTACCTGGCGATTCCGTTGAAGGGCTGGTTGTCGTTGTCGTCGTCGCTGGGCGTATCGAAGTTGCTCTGGGATCTGGGGTGGTGTCGCTTAGCGAGTTGTGGTTGTCAGGGCTTGTGCCCTGGTCCCGTGATTCGCCGACAGCCTCAAGGGTGAGTCTGTCACATGACCTCATAACTGCGAAGAGTAATTCTGTTTGCTCCGGCGGGATCCACTTTACTGCTCCATTGCGCTAGGCTAATAGGGGACTAGGGCATCGCGGCCCGGGAGCAATAAGGCTATCTATGCACCTACCTACTTACTCCGTACTTAGTCCAGATAGTGATGAAGATTCTATACCGATATTGGGACTATATTGACAAGTCTATAGTTACAAAAGAAAATTCAGGAATATGCACAGTTTGAATGGGTATCTATGGTAAATACTAGGCGCCTATATAGCAGATGTGACATACTATGAAATGTTATAGGAGCGCTATACAAGGTCGTCTTTGCCGATGAATGCGGCCATAGGATCGTCGGCCGCAAGCCGGCTTCGCTTGTATGATTCAATTTCTTCCTCGGTAATTCCAGACTGCACCTCCATGAGCGTTCTCTTCTTCGTATTAGAGTTGGATGTCTCCTGTTGTTCCGAGGGTTGAGCGTCATCAACAGCTTCATGCGCGTCGTTATCTTCATGCCCAGCGGATGGCTCGTCACCATCGGCCCCGTTCTCAGACAGCATCAGCAGCTGGTCTGCTTCCTGGAATGCGCGCTTCCCATCTTCACCAGTACAATAGCTGTTTTTGACGGTGGAAAAGCAACAGGCATATCCCCACTCAAAGTTGTGCCACCAACTTCCCCAGACGCATGTATGGTTGTTGGTGAAGATGTCTTCAGCATACTTCGATTTGGCCGCCTTCTTTGGTGCTCCCTTGATCGCACCCGTCTCGTCATATTCGACGAACCTCTCGTTCTCAACAACCATTGTATCCCGCAACGGTGTGGGGTCGAGGTGCTCTTGACCACCATACTTATCCAGAAGAGCCTTCCGTTGAGCTTCACGTTTCGCGACGGACTCTGCCTCCTCCTTCTTCCGCATGACCTCTCCAGCTGTCGGGTTCGCCTGCAAGTGGACCTTCTGTGCACCACGTTCTTGTGATTCCCAGGCATATCTTTGCGCCTTCTCAAATTCAGCAGCATCACCTGAAGCGCGGACAAAGTTCTCTTCGGCAACAAGTGCTGCTGCCTGATCATCCTGAGCGCCCATATCAACCATCCGTCGTGTCTTCGGGTCGTACTTGGCCGAATCAAGGTCCAGGTTCAGCAGATACTTTGCCGTGTCTTCTCGGATACGGAGGTTGCGAGTGGCGGTGCTCTGTTGTCTTCCCATGTCGGACTCCTCAGCGTAGCGGGCTTCCTCCTGAGGCGCATCTTCATCGTCATCGGCCTCGCCATCCTTGCCCTCATTTTCGCCATCCTGTTTCGTGACTCGTTTCAATTTTTCAAGTTCCTCGTACTCCTCCACCACTTGTCGATATTCGCTCGGATCGTAGCCGTTCCACCGATCTCTCTTCGCATCCCACCCCATGTTGACGTCTTGTATGACTTCATCCGCCTGAATATCTTTACCGGTCCATTTGGCACCATGCTTTCGAGGGCGACTCAAACACTCTTTCGTCTTGTGGGTCATGGCGCCGCAGTTCTCACAGGCGCCTTTCCGGTACTTGGTGGCCGCGGGACCAGCACGCTTGCCACGATCGTACCATTTTGACTGGTCTGCTGTCGACTTTTGCAGACGTTGATGCTCTAGGTAGTCATTCGCTTGAGAGTCGTCGTCGATATAGAACGGCTTTTTCGAGATGAAAGACGGAATGTACTCGTTGCGCTCTTTCGACGCCACATCGGCGGGTTTTTTAGACATGATGGCGGATGGCAGGGAACAGAAGGCGCAAAGTATAGGGGAAGGGAGAAAGAGCTATAGCGCCGCCAAAGGACTCAAGTTTCTCTGGAAAAACCAGCAGATGTGTGTGAATGTCGGGTTCTTGATTCTATCTCCGCGTTGATGGGAGTCGGCGACGGTTCTGTATCACTCACGTGACCTGGCGTAATACCCGCGCCACCCAGTCGCGTAAACTCAACCACAACTTCCTACACGTCGCAGTCACAAAAGAGAGTTGGACGGCGAAGCAGTGGGTGATGTTGTCGGTACCTAATTTATTGATATGACGCGACTCGGAATTCCTCGCGCGTTCGGTCGCTGACAGCTTCAGCTGTCCTGAAATCAAGCTATGGAGCCCTTCCAAGTGCGCCTTAACTGCGTGGACCACTACCAGGCAACTCCGTCAGAACTCGACCCTCCTCTGCCTTACAGGGATGGTGCGGCTGGGAAAAATGATAGATCGAAAGTCCCCGTAATTAGGATCTTTGGGGCCACGGAGACTGGCCAGAAGGTGTGCGTCCATGTGCATGGCGCCTTTCCTTATTTGTATGTCGAGTATGATGGTGATCTGGAGACAGAGAAAGGTTGGTCTGATAAGAGGTGTAACAATATGGTATGTTCATGCAGCTAAGCCATCTATAGTGAGCTCCGCCATTAGGAGTCTCCGTCTCTCGATCGATCATGCTCTGGCAGTAAGCTACAATCGCAACGAAAATGCCAAGAAGATACCCTTCGTCGCGCACATCACTCTGGTGAAGGGTGTTCCCTTCTATGGGTACCATGTGGGCTATAAGTTCTACTTCAAAATCTATCTCATGAACCCCGTTTATATGACCAGGCTAGCGGACTTGCTACTTCAGGGCGCTGTCCTTAAGCGTCCTCTACAACCATACGAAAGTCATTTGCAGTTCGTTCCGCAGTGGATGTGTGACTACAGTTTGTACGGATGTGCCTATCTGAAGTGTAGCAAAGTCAAATTCCGCAGTCCCGTCCCAGAATACTTTGAACTTACTGATCTATCCCATCGCTGGCACGACCGATCCGTACAACCCGACGACCTGTTAGACGACTCTCTTTTTCCAAAGCAAAGCCATTGTCCCCTAGAGGTCGATATTTGCGTTCAGGATATTCTAAACCGCTCAGAAATTAGCGAAAGACCCATCCATCAGGATTTTACTGAACTCTTCAAGCAAATGACTTCTGATGAACGACTTGTTCCGAGTATGGCAGGTTTGTGGCAGGATGAGACACGCAGACGGAGGAAGCGTCTGGGGCTCGAACCGGGCAGTAGCCCATTCGATCCCAACGAATTAGTCTCTTTGTCCGTTAACCCAAGAGATACTTCTCGAGGTGGCTGGATCCACGAAGAAGAGTATCGTGAAATGGCTGCGCAGACCGTCAATGAGGAGAAGCAGGAGAATGGTGGCGGCGATGTAACATTCGATGACTTACTTTCGCAGAAGCCATTCGCCCAGGATGTAAAGACTGCGATGCAGAGTGTCGAGGATTTCTATCCGGACAAGAACGATTTTGATAAGTATCAACAACAACCTGTCGAGCCTGATACGGCGGCGAACGCAGAAGTAAACGTTGATGAGAGCGCAGCTTGGCCTGCGGCCTTGGATGATGAATACCTTTTCGACGATGATAATTTCGACGTATTACCCGGAGAAGACAATGACCGGGAAGCTGCAAGTGCCTTGGATGAAAATCAGGCCGGAGATATCCTTGACCTAGTACAAGACGAACCTGAGTACTCTGTTGATGATCTAAATGCCTACGAAATGAGTGCGACGCGAAAAGCAGGTTCGGATGAAATGGTCGGACGAACCGAAAGCCGAGAGCCCAGCCATAATAATATGCGCAAACGGAAAAGATTCTTCGATGACACCCCATCGCAGATGTTAGATAGGCCGCGGAAGTCTCGGATAGCTGAAGTTCAAGTCAACAGTACAACCCCCAAAATCGAAGATACCGCCAACACGTCGGATGCAGATGCAGTTGTAAGGGGAAAATCCTCACAAAAAAAGCTATCTCAGTCAACTGTCCGCTCTAAGAGGCCTGAACAGAGTGGAAGGCTCAACTTTCCGGTTGTCAAAGACCCTAATGATCCTATGACAATCTTGCGCTTCAGCCAGGACGGTGCGCCTTCTTCCAAGGAACTTAGAGAACTAGAAAAAGATTTGTCCAGTTCTGGGCCAGAAGTTATTTCGAAAGACATCAGAGCGGAGAACAGCTCATCACAACCGCAGTCATCAGTCACTGTAACAAGTCCTGATGCTGGCATAGATCCGCAGATTTTGGAAATAGCGTCAGGATTCTATGCTGCCTTTAATGTGCCTATGAATGCTCGCATTTGCTTCTTGCGAAATCTCTCTCCCAGTACTAGTGAGGTCGCTTCGACACCTCATTGCTATGATTATCCGTCCGTTATTTATCAGAAAGCGCACTACAGTGATGAAAGTGATGTGCCTGACCGTGCGAGGGATTACGCAGGTAGGGAATTCCGCTTAGAAGGTAATGGTATACACTACCTCCCCGACTTCGATCCGTCAGGGCGGTCTATGGCTATGCTAGGGGAATATACTCCACCGAGAGACAAGAATGAACAAGAGGTGGTTGACCAGCAGCTGCGGGAGTTCTCTACCTCTAGGTTCTGGGAGTTTGGCCCTGTTCCTCCAAGCCGCTCAGAAGTTATCGAATGGTTCGAAAAGTGTCAAGCTGAGGAGAAGGCAGATGCCGCTCAACCCCAAACACCCAAGCAGGTGCAAATGAAGGCGAATGTCTTGTCACAGATCGAGGGCCCTACCCAGAAGAATGGCTATGGCTTCAAATATTCACAAAGAGGAAAATCCACCAGTGTCGAGCACCAGACACAGTATATGAGCATCATGAGCCTGGAGGTGCATGTGAACACCCGAGGTGTGCTGTCGCCGAACCCAGAAGAGGATGAGATCACATGTGTGTTCTGGTGCCTGCAGTCGGAAGATGAGGACCTTGATGCCAACGGTACGGTGCCAGGGGTTCATGTTGGCATGATATCTCAATCGGAAGACGACAGGCCAGATACTAAAGCATCCAAAGCCTTGAGAATCGACTGGGAACATGAAACCAGCGAACTAGACTTAATCAATCGTATGGTAGACATTGTTCGCTGGCATGACCCCGATATCATCACTGGCTACGAGGTACACAACAGCTCTTGGGGCTACTTGATCGAGCGAGCAAGGAAGAAATATGACTTTGACATCTGCGATGAGCTGTCCAGAGTGAAGTCGCAAGCCCATGGGAGATTTGGCAAGGATGCTGACCGATGGGGCTTCAACCACACCTCTTCTATTCGAGTCACTGGACGGCACATGATCAACATCTGGCGAGCCATGAGAGGCGAGCTGAACCTGCTGCAGTATACACAGGAAAATGTTGCCTTTCACCTGCTTCACCGCCGTGTCCCGCACTACTCGTTTCAGGACCTCACGGACTGGTATCGCAGCGGGAAGCCTCGCAACATACTGAAAGTAGTCGAATACTTCGTCTCTCGCGTGCAAATGGATCTCGAGATCCTAGAGTCAAACGAATTGATCCCCAGAACTAGCGAGCAGGCCAGGCTACTTGGAATCGACTTCTTCTCAGTATTCTCTCGTGGCTCTCAATTCAAGGTTGAATCTCTCATGTTTCGCATTGCGAAACCGGAGAACTTTATACTCGTCTCGCCGAGCAGGAAACAAGTCGGTCAACAAAATGCTCTTGAATGTCTCCCACTGGTGATGGAACCCCAAAGCGACTTCTACACCAGCCCTCTTGTGGTACTAGACTTCCAGTCCCTATACCCCAGCATCATGATCGCCTACAACTACTGCTACTCGACATTCCTGGGGCGAGCACACCAATGGCGGGGCCGAAACAAGATGGGATTCACGGACTACAAGCGCCAGCCCCGAATACTAGAGCTACTACAAGACAAGATCAACATTGCCCCCAACGGCATGATCTACGCAAAACCGGAAGTGCGCAAATCCCTTCTCGCACGCATGCTCGCCGAGATCCTCGAAACACGAGTAATGGTCAAAAACGGCATGAAACTCGACAAAGACGACAAAGCGCTCCAGCGCCTCCTCAACAACCGACAACTAGCCCTGAAATTAATTGCCAACGTCACCTACGGCTACACGTCCGCCTCATTCTCGGGCCGCATGCCCTGCTCCGAAATCGCCGACAGCATTGTGCAATCCGGCCGTGAAACCCTCGAAAAAGCCATCGCCTTCATCCACTCGGTCGAACGCTGGGGCGCCGAAGTAGTCTACGGCGACACCGATAGTCTCTTCGTCTACCTCAAAGGCCGAACCCGCGACGAAGCCTTCACCATCGGCGAAGAAATCGCCAAAGCCGTCACATCCATAAACCCCCACCCTGTGAAACTCAAATTCGAAAAAGTCTACCACCCCTGCGTCCTCCTCGCCAAAAAACGCTACGTCGGCTTCAAATACGAACACCGGGATCAAAAAGAACCCGAATTCGACGCGAAGGGGATTGAAACCGTCCGTCGGGACGGCACACCCGCCGAACAAAAAATCGAAGAAAAAGCCCTGAAACTCCTCTTCCGCACCGCCGACCTCTCCCAAGTCAAACGCTACTTCCAATCCCAATGCACCAAGATCATGCAAGGTCGCGTCTCCATCCAGGACTTCTGCTTCGCAAAAGAAGTCCGTCTAGGCACCTACAGCGACAGAGGCCTCCCACCACCAGGCGCCCTAATCAGCACGAAGAAAATGATCGCCGACCCACGCTCCGAACCCCAATACGGCGAACGCGTCCCGTACGTTGTCGTCACTGGCGCCCCCGGCGCAAGGCTCATCGACCGCTGCGTCCCGCCAGAAACCCTCCTGCATGATCCCCACCTCGACCTAGACGCAGACTACTACATCACGAAGAACCTCATCCCACCCCTCGAGAGGATCTTTAACCTCGTCGGCGCAAACGTCCGCCAATGGTACGATGAGATGCCGAAAGTGCAG